ACTGGTGGAAGACAATGGGAATCCAAAAACCTCACCAATATCTACTGGGTATGTGGGCGCATTTCACTTTTATTAACTATACATCGAACCGTATATTGAAGCGGATGTGTTACAAATGATGTTGATAGTTTCAGGATGTTTGGCAGGAAAGGATCGGTGGATGAAGAGGTTGTGGTGCCGGGATCAAGCATAAGTAAAAAAAGAATACCGTGGAGGTCAACAAAATACGATACTGAAACACTCCAAAGCCAATCCAAACACTCCAAGGAAGAAGCATCTTCCGATGGGAAAGATGATAACTTCCTATTGGATTTGTTCTTCAAAACGATGTACAATAAGACAAAGAAGCTTCCTCTGATGAAGCAGATAGAACTGAGGCGGGAAATAAGGCAGTTGGTTATGAATGCGGAGAAACCGAGCCAAGACGCGAACCGTCAGAAGAGCGCAGAAGCAAGTACGGAAACTCCGAAAAAAGGCCGATTTTCGTCCCCAAAATGGTACTGATAAAAAAAAAAGGTTCGATGGCATGGATATGTTTCTTACAACGACAAAGAGTATGAGTACGAATATTTTTTTTTGACGGATAGAATTAATCGAATCTATCCATATTTATCCAGAATTTTGAGGAACCGGAGCCATTTCCAACACACGAAAGATCCCTTCGAATAAAAAAAAAATTAAAATATAAAATTAATTTTTATGTTTGTTTTTAATTATATAGGGATATTATAGCTTAATGTCTAGTGCTTCCCTCTCCCCCAAAAAATGTTCTGATTTAAAATCGATCTATTTCCTAACTGTTTCTAACGAAACGACAGATCTTTCAGGAAAAATAAATTGAAGGTGCGATTTATAACATTATTTTAACAGCCTTTTTTTGTACACAAGAAAAATGACTATGCTGTATAAAAAACGTATTATTTGAAAACACCCGAATAGATCCACAGTTTTCTAGAGATTTAATAATTAATAAGCAGTTCAATTTATTAATAATAATTATTCTTCCCATAACAGTTCTTAATAAAATTTTAACCGCATTTCGTTGTTAAATAACTGGCTATGTACGAATATCCAGAAGAATCGAAGAATCGAAAAAGGCCAAAAAAAAAAAAGTCGTGTTACAGTAATTAATGGAGTATATATAATAAAGGTTTTTATGAATTGATTAAAACAGATGCACATAACTAATTTTTACAATTTTGGCTCTTAAAATTCGGAATACAAAGTTCTAACTCTTAGATAGTTTAATGGAGTTAACTTCTTTTATTCTGCTACAGAACGTAGAAGAAGTTGGATGCTGATATTGAATCTAAAGGACGATGAAGTGGAAAAATGTACCCAGAGGGTATCCAGCCCAATTACCTTGTATCAAGGAAGATACCTAGTTTAGAAGGATTTTTCCTTTAGATAACTGGAGTATCAATAGAGATTCATGATTATGTATCCAGGAGATTATCTTGGAAGATTTATTTTTGGAACATTTAATACTCTATCGACTTAGATGTTTTTTTATTAAATTTATCTCACGGAATCGAATTAACATCGCCTACATGAGTAACAGTAATCACTTATCTATCGAAAATATATTAGAAACCTGTTTTGTGAATGTGCACATGTTTTTATCTGGTACTGAGTCTGCATTCGAATTGTTCATTTTGTGCATTTCAAAATTTGAATAATAAATACATCTGGAGTTCATCAACTAATAATTAATAAATATAAATACAAATTTTATAGTGACAAATTGTTCTTAAAATAATTTAATATATTTAAATATGTAGGCAGAGAGCTAGTAGTTCTACTTGTTTTGGAGGTTGTGATATAAATTATGTATAAATAATACATACTTCAACCCCAAATATTTTGAAACATAGTTCTGTAGTTTAGTTCAAACTTAATAGAAGTAGTTTGTCTTGTTGGTGGTGTAGTTTTTTAATCAAAGGTGCATGAGAGGCCATTTTCAAATTTAAATAGAATTAAAAATGCATTCTACTGTCGTAACTTTTAAGGACAAAACAAAACTGTGTATACGACAGGGTTAAATGCAAATTTATGGTAGTGCAAGTTGAAAAATTTCAAGGCGTTACTCATAATTTTTTTTTTAATTCTAGGTCACACTATTCTGTTCTAGAATGAGGGTGGTGCTGTACAATTTATTATAGTAAAAACTAAATTAAAGGTTTTTGAAATCTATCAAAAGATAGATCAGAAGACAGTAAACATCCCAAATTTTCAATATAGAATTGAGCATATTGAGCATTGTTTTTATTTTAAGATTTATATGTTTGGAAAGGGGATTTCAGTATGAACACGAGTGCTAAATCCGTTTGCCTAAATAAGGATCTTAAAGTTTAAAAAAAACTGCTAGTTACGAACATGACTTCGTATTCCGAAGAAACATATTAAACTATTAATTTAAAAAAAAAACTGATCTACCCTGCAGTAAGTTTTCTATAAACCTTATGGGATCTGAGCAAGCAAAAATAAAAAGAAAAGAGAATTTCCATGAAACAAAGAGTCTTTAAAAATTCATTGCAAATAAATGAAATGACAAACACAAAATACTTCAGTTGGACCTTCTCCAGCATTTGTAAAAGACGTTTCTAAGTTTCCAAATTTCCTTCAAAAACATAAGTGACAGTTTATTTGAGAATGAGTTATTACAGGCTAAAAAATAAACAACAAAAAACTAATCTAATTGAACCACCAAACATTTCCGTATTGAGAAAAATGCAAAAAAATAATATAGTTTATGTTTTTAGTATTTTATTATTCTAAGGTAATACCTAGTACTAATTAGTATTGTAGCTTATATATAAAGTTAGTATATACAAGCATATTTTTCAGTGCTCAGAAAAATTAAAGACAATATAAACTCAACGTTTTGCTTGATAATGTTCATACACAAAATTATTCGAGAAAACTCTTAATTAACTAAAAATGTATTCGTATTAGTAAAACATAAAATATACATGAAAAACAACGAATATTAAAAACATTTATGTTTTCTAATCCTTTTCACATACTATAAAAACATTTCGGAAGATTTAGTGATTCGTAATTAATTTTAGAAGCAAATTTGAATAGCTCAATCTTCCCTGAAAACTTCACAACTATAAAATAGCTTTTGTAGACATTGATGTCCACTACTAGAAATTGTGTACTTGCATGAAACTAAAATCAGGTAGGTACGAGCCGCATTAGAACCTAAGTGATATAGAATGTGTATAGATTGAAATTGCATTTTTTATTTCATAAATAAGAGGTTTATATAAAACTATAAACTATAAATAACACAGTGTCTAGAAACTGCGGTAGTGTACAGATATCAAACACGATACTATACAATCGCTCTCAGTTCTACTTTATAAATATTTTGGATTGTTTTTTCTGAAATTTTTGTTTATGAGAACGGTTCTCATTTTTCTATTTAAGCGTTATGTGTTAAAAATAATTTTGGAATAGTTGAAGCTGTTATTTAGAAAATAAATATTTAATTGTTTTTTCGAAAGCTTATTTAAGAAAACATGTCATATTTACATTCGAACATATAAAATATATAGTCAAACGTCTATGTATGGATGGCCGTTATTCATCATGATTTTTTTTGGATCCTTTTGATTAATTTTTTTTATTGGAAAAATATATTTTGTATATTAAAAAAAGGTCTATATTTCGAATGAAAAGTCACATTAAAAAAAAAGTTATCTATAATGTAATGATAAATCGAATATGTTTTTGTGACGAGTTCTATTTCGCTACTTTAATGTGGCGTCCGGTTTCAAGATCACTCAGAGCATGCTAGCTAATCCTAGATTCCCGAAAAGTCCCTAATGTATCCGAAAGAACACGAAGCATACCGTCTCCTGAGAATTTAATAGATAAATTTTTACTCTATTATAATAGTCGATAATGATTATTCTTGTTAAAATATTGTTATAAATATAATTTGTATGATTCCAATTACATCTAATAATCGAATTATAAACTACAAATAACAATAATTACGAAGGTATGAATTTTCGCAGCGATCAAAATTTTCTATATTTCCTATAATTTTATTGTGCGTATTAGTCCTATAAATATTTTATTAATGTATGCATTTTCTTCTTTATGCATTTATCCGTAATTTTCAGGGAGAAGAGGGGATTTTAATTTAATTTTAATAGGCTTATTTTAATTATGTATTTTTTCATTAAGTATTTTATTAGTATACGTATTTGCGAATTAGAAAGAAAAGCTAACTGGCTTCCATCATGGATTAGAGAAAGGCTTTTTTTTAGAAGTAAATGTAAGATTATGAATAATATGTTCTAAAGCTATCTTAATGCAAAACCAGTAAAAATGACACAAATATTATTTACGATTTAAATGAGTGTATGAGGCGATAAGACAATACCTTTTATTTTATTCCATTACTGCTCCATCTTTTAGATGATTTGTGCAATACTTAAATTTTAAAATAATACCCATATAACACAAAAAATGTAAGTAATTATCTGAAAAATAACTGGTGATGAAGTTAGTATCGTCATTCCCAACAACCTGCTCTACATTAACTATTTCAATAGGGGCAGCGATAAAATCCTTTATCGTTTATTTTTGTGGGCTGATGTTAAGAATTCACTCTGTCGAATTAAACACCACCTCTAGCTCTCCGCCTATATATAAAAACGGGTGATTTCCTTCATAGATTATAAAAGTTATTGCATTGGATTACAAGAAAAAGAATATTGAACTAAAACTAAAATAGGTTATTTCGTTTATTTTGTAATATCATGTCAACTGTGAAGTATCAAATGTGGAAAAACGCATTTTTTATACTATGTTGTTTATTTGTAAAGAGATGTTATGAGCGATTGCTGATTGTGTCTAGAATGTGATTTGAGAGAATCACATATTCGATGAAGCGGTTATGAAAAACGCGTTAATTCACATTGGATACTTTAAAGTTGGTACGAAGATATGATTTTTTTGTGTGTTGTATTTCATTTTTTCAGCCGATGTGTCTTCGTCCATAATCTCCATCAATGCCTCCAGAGAAAAATCTGAGCTGCAGTTAAGTGATGACAACCGTGTGAGGTATATAATCATGTTTATCAACTTAGTTTGCGTCATTAATCCATATAATTTATTGTTTATATAAGAACTTTTAAGGTGTGGAGTAGATATAAAAATTGCAGTTTTGACGGAGGCTACTATTAAATAAGATATAATATAGAAAAACATAATAAATAAATACTTTTTATTAAATTGTGAATAAAGTAAAGTCAAGCAGTTTTTTTTTTATTATTTATTATCAGTAAATTAATCATTATTTAAAAGTAGGTGTAGCTCAGTGGTACTGAGCTTCCAATGCTAAAGGTCCCAGGTTCGAACCCCGGCTCATGGCAGAAAATTGATTTATCTGTTTCATTGGCCGTGGGGCTACCCTGTGTCAGGAGACCCTCCTGTGGCACACCCAGCCTCTATAAAGTGGGTGTCCTTAATGAAATAATTGATTAAGGGGTCAACCTGGTGGTTGAGCGTGATCTCGGTCAAATTATCTCCTTGCACAACCGTTACCTAGAAACAGTGCTTTCCATAAATAGTACTGAACCCACGATCCTTCGTGGGTTGTAATGGTACAGATTTTTATTATTTGTGTGTTATACCTATAAGAATGCTTAACTGTGGCTTGGCATCCTAGTCCGTGGTATAGACCCCTTTTTACCAAAATATCAACCTCCGGCTGCAACTTCGTATAGCTTCATCTAGTTGAAGCCTAAAAATATTCCAAAATTCATGGAATTGGGGCGTTTTCGATCTGAAGGTCGGCAAAGTTTGTCTATTTAATTAAGGACTAAAAACTGCTGGCTTTAATTCCCTGGCTACTACTACACTTTGAAGAAATTTCTCCACGGTTTCCTCTTTTCAACGCCTAAACATCTGATGTTATGTTTTTTGCTTGATAATGGCATCAATGTGATGGAACAATGTTTGAAAATACATAAACATGTTTCACTGTTAACAAAAGTTAAAAATATATATATAATTAAAAATGCCTTAATTATTCTTTAGGAGTGGAAATAAATTTAATAACTTTAATAGTTTAGTTTGTATCTTCATCCAATCAGTCTAACGTTTCAATACCAGTGCGTGGTACCCCATTATCGAATTATTAACATCCGCCTGAAACTTCGTAAATAGCTTCATCTCATCGTAACCTACAAACATTTAATTTACGAAAATTCTCGGAAATGGATCGTTTTCAATCAGAAGATCTGCACACTTTGGCTATTTAATTAGATCCTAAAAACTCATAAATATCCATTCGCTTTCCACTTGAACTTGAACACGAAGTCGGTAAAACAGGTGGCCTTAAAAAATATTGAGCCGTTGGGCTAACCTACACCCCGAAATTGCCAACATAAAGAGGTTATATAAGCCAAACAGCCCAATATTTTTGTAGGTCACCTTTATTTTCTATTTTATAATCAAATTATCTTACGAACCAAATTGAAAGCAAATAATACGTATATATATATATAAAAATAATATATATATATATATATATATATATATATATATATACACAATGTTAACTTTGTAGAACATTATATGTTTAATTTCTTAATCAGAATTGTTTTATAAGAAAAGTAAAAGATTAAATGATTTTGAATTAACGTAATACATACTTTCTTGTTCCATATCTTGTAGTGAGTGAACCTGGTAAATATTTGATATGTTAATTATTATAATGTTTTATATAGCTATGTACATATACTGATAATTATATTTTCTATTGATAAAAAAGTAGAAGCTTATTACTTTTTCATTAAAACCTATTCAAGTAAATGGTTTATAAAAACTGATATATAAAGACTTTTATTAATGAGGTTTGAAAATAAAAGTTATGTATATAACTGTTTTCAAATGACATGTATCAAAACAGACAGTAAGATTTCAAACATTTATACATTCACTTATATTGGTAATAGTTAATTTTTTAATTTTTAATTATGACTTACCTGTTTCACTCAACCACTGGTTTAAACAATAATTTAAATTTCTGAGACCCCATCGCTTAATTCCTGTAAATATTTACTTATTTATTTATATTATTAGATATAATAATATTTTTTTCAGAGACCCCAGCAAACTTCGCCTGGAATTGGAATTCACGGCTAGCAACCATATGCAGATAGCGCTGGTGACGTCAGCTTCGCACGACCACCACAAGGCTTTCTACAAGGATGACGTGAAATCAAAGGCCATCCTGTCCTCAAAATCCTCTCCATCACTCTATCGATCTTGTTCGATTACTTCCAAACCATCGTCCGTGATCGGGTAATTATTTATATCACTTTTTTTGTTACTCCACTAGAATGGAATTTGGATTATATATACTTAACGTAAGATATTAAAATATCCTTACTAGCAAGGAACTAAATTTTTTATGTCAACTACAAAGTTATAAAGAATACGTAACTTTTACATCATCCAGAGACGAGTTGGTCCAAAGGCGGAAGGTTATACGGGACTTCTCAACTCGACACATGGGATGGCAGGAAAATGACTCTCACAAATAATATATATGTAAGCGAGGCAATATCTCGAACCAACCGACATCTATATTGGTTAGCCCTAGAAGAGTTCTGCGGAGAAGATCAGATACGTCTGGTTCAATGTGGGCAAGGGGAAATGTCGACGTGATGACGGCCAGCAGGTTGTCGTGATTAACTCACCATCGGACTTGGACATATTCGCATGATTTTTACTCACATGTTTAATTGCTCTGCACACTTTATTTTTCATTTCTGTTTTTGCCCATTTCGATTTTTATTTTTTTCAAGATTACAATTTAAATGTTTTAGATCTAATTTATTTTGATAATTATTTTATTATTGTTTATAAGATCAGTCTAAGCTTGATTTTTTTAGACATTTTAATATACTTAAATGTTTTTTTTTCCGATATAGAGGTGCATCTTTCGTTTACTGAATTGTATATCTCCAACTTTTCCATTAATAATACCTGGGAAATTATTATTCTTCATTTTTTGTTTATGTTTAGCATCATTTATTATCACATTCATGTTTCTTCTTAATAGAGGTGTCATCAACAATTATGTACTCTGGGCTCATACTAGCTCCAACCACTATAAAAATATTCCTACCCCTAGCACTTCCAATCTGTTAACCAAGCCACCCCTCCTTCTTCCATGACTAATATCCTTTTAACCTGTCACTCTTGATGAATTTTATGATTTTTTCCTCCACAACTTCTACCATCTAATCGCAGTTTCTGAAACCTGGTTAAAGCCCTCTATTCCGTCTTCCCAAATCGCTTTGCCCAATTATACCCTCCTTCGTCATGACAGAGTGGATCGTACCGGTGGTGTGTAGGTCCCTTTGTTCATGACTGCCTTAATTCAAAATCCTTCATTGCTCTTCCCATATCGATTCTCCGCATCTGTAACATCTTTTTACTGAAATCCTCACCCTATCATCCCCCCTTCTCTTTGCAGTCATTTATCGTCCACCCAGAATTCCGTTTGATGAATCATTTGAGACTTCCCTTTACAACTTGATCCCTTCCTACTCCAATATTATCCTCACCTGAGATTTCAATACCAATTTAATGATACCATCTTCTGACCATTCCTACCTGACTGGCCTCCTCCAATCAGTAAGCCTTTATATAGCACCCTACAATCTTATCAATCATACCCAGTTCTCAGAGTCCTGGCTTCATTTGTTTATCTTGGAGTCCCTGGATATACTCTTGTAAGCATCTTAGCACCCGGTTCCATTTCTGTCTTCCCGTGATCTTATCCAGATTTCATACAACATCCCAGTCCCATCAATGACCTTTCATCCTCTATCCTATACTGTCAATACCATCTGTACGCCGACGACGTCCAGATTTACCTCTCCTTTAATTCAACCGAATCCTCTGACGCCATCCAAAAATTACAGGAAGATATAAACGCAATATGTGCCTGGGCAATGCACAATAGAATTATTCTAAACGCCAATAAGACGAAAGCGATCCTGATCGGGTCTCCCTCACTCCTCAAATCCATACAGATACTCCCCAATCTTTTCCTGAACAACTCACCTATCTCATTCCATACTTCCGTAAAAAACCTTGGTGTTACATTCGGTCAAACGCTCTCCTGGAAACCACACATCTCCCAAGTTTCCCGTCGTACTATCTCTACCCTGAAGCAGTTTAACCGTCTCCGCTATCTCCTTCCATATAAATCCCGTCAACTCCTGGTTTCCTCCCTTGTGTTCTTCCACTTCGACTATGGCTGTCTGGTGTACGGCGGACACTCGGAAGAATTCGAGGTCAAACTTAAACGCTTAATGAACTGCGCAATACGTTTTGTTTTCGGAATCTCAAGAGATACGCATATAACCCAGTATTACACCAAGTTGAAGTGGCTCTATCCATCCAACCGCCGTCTGTACTTCCTTGCTTTCTTTCTATACCAAGTCATCAGAACTCAGCGGCCTTCCTATATTTTTCATAGCCTACAATTCAAATATTCCATTCAATCCCGTCTCAGTACCATCCCCACCGAACTGCAACGTTTAAAAAATCCTTTATTATTCAAGCCGTCTCCTTCTGGAATACTATCCCTCCCGATATCCGACATGTACAATCAGTTTCCTCATTTAAATCTCTCCTTTTTAACCACTTACTCCTTTTAACCCGATTGATTATGAAATGTAGGTAAGAGAACTTTCCTCCAGAAAAGATTTTGTTTACTTATGTTATTTTACTTTTCCATGTTTTTATTACATACATTTGTATTTTTTTTAGTGTTTTTAGTTTTATTCTTCTTCCAATATTTTAATTTTAATAAGAATTGTAAATAATTAATTTTATGAATAGCCACACAGGCATTTATTCTGTAACTGTGATTTGTCCTAAAGGACAACAGTCCCAGGATAATAACAAAAATATTTTCATTTCATTTCATCCTCATCAATGATTATTCCAGATACACCAGAATAACGTGCTGAGAGACTACGAACTTCAATCTGAAAATTTATAAACATCCAGAACCATGACCTTCCTCCCCTTCAATTGTACAAACAATTCCGACAGAACCATCACTATAGTTAATTACAACAAACATGCAACTTTATTGCATCTTTGTTGATTAAATCTATTCATCTGGTTGTTGTCCTTCCATGTCTTTTGCCTTCTTTTGATACATTAATTTTTGTTTAGAGACTTCCAGATGGATTGCTTCTATCTTCACCTCCTTACCTTCATAACATGAGGTATCGATTGATCAGTTTCTGTATTGGTCAATCAATATCATTATTGGTCTTTCTCCCCAATGCATTAGCACTTTGATCCCAGATAGATTACAGATACCTAGTTCTGCCATAAATACTGTTACACAAGTAAACTTTATTTACATTCTTGGTTATTATTTAGATAATCCTTACCTCTATCAGGTTATTTTTTTTACATGTCAGGATAATAATCCCAATTAGTTTGTATTTTTTTTTCGCTCAGTTAACATGAGGCGGTGTGATAAAGAAAACCGAATAGTTGTGATCACCTTACACAAAGTTGGAAAATGTAGGTCAGAGATTTTCAACACTTTGAAACCTTTGGGTATCAGCCGCATGTTCGTGCACTGCACTATAAGTAGATATAGATGAGACCTTATTTGTATGTGACAGACCTCGACCCCCGTCCCCGCACTGTGAGAACGGCAATTGCAGTGAGAGCAGTTGCCTGCTCGAATCAGAAGAGTTCCCATTCGAAAACAACAAATCGTGTCTCGGGAAATAGGAATCTCTGTCAGATCAATGTCCCGCATAATAAAAAGTTACCTTAGGATGGGTGCTTTTCGACAGGATGAAGAGACAAAGGCTAACCATTCCCTAAAAAAAAAATAGAGTGGATAGATGCAAATTGATCCTTGGCCGTTACACCAATTGTCTTTATCGAAAGATTTTGTTTAGCGATGAGAAAATTTTTATAATTCAAGAAAAATTTAATCGTCAAAATGATCGTCTGTACGTACGCTGCTCTAAAGAACTCCAGAAATTCATTGGAAGAGTGGAAAGAGACCACCCTTTCTCATTGATGGTTTGGTGGCGAGTTTGCTTTGATGGCGAGTTTGCTTTGATGGCACCACTTTTGTGAAAAAAGGAGTTAAAACAGCCGCTAAAAACTATCAGGACGATATTTTGGAACATGTTGTCATGTCTATGAATGATACTCTGTTTGCTGGAAGTCATTGGATTTTTCAGCAGGATTCCGCTCCAGCTCACAAAGCCAGGTCAACTCAGCAGTGGCTGCAATAGAACGTTTTAGAGTTTATCTCTGCCTCGGTTTGGTCCTAAGAAAGCCCTGATCTCAACCCACTAGATTAGCAGCTTTGGTCCGAACTGGAGAGGATGGCATGCCACAGAGCACACCCTAACTTGGAAAGCATAAAAATATATCTGGTCCGAGCAGTTGAGCGCTTTCCTCAAGAAGTGCTGCGTGCTGCTATCGATGACTGGCTACGGAGATGAAATGCCTGTGTCAAGTCAAAAGGGAGACATTTAGAATAATTTATTTTTTGTTTTACTCTCTATGGATATACATTTTATTTTCTTATAAAGTTTTGAAAAAATTAATATTTCTGTTGAAACCTGTATACATTTCCTTGTAACAATATTTATGACAGGATTAGGTACATATGTTAAGAAACATGTAGTGTTATAGATGAAGCTGTATATACATTCTTATTACTTCCTTTTGCTAAAAATTAGCGAACATTAGTTTTCTAATGTTAAAAATTAGTTTGATATCAAGCCGTTAAAACCCAATTGATTTTATTATATGTATTGAGAAATGTTAACATTAAAAATGAATAATAGCTAATTTACAAAATTTTAAATTTATAAATTATTAAATTAAGATATTGTCTTATTATTTTTTAAAAATTTTATGCCTGTTTCATAAAACTAATAAGCTCATAGAGCATTTGAGAGACTGGAACATCCGAAATTTAAGTGGAAAATCAAAAGAACCATCAAAGAATTATTTTTTCTTTTTCTATGGGATGTATTTTTATGCTAATCAAAATATATACATTTATATTTTTTTTGGTAGCATTCAAATTAGGAAAAAAATCCGATTCTAGTGAAAAAAGTTTAAAACAGTGAGAGGTTTTATAATATGTATTTTTCGATTAAGATTTTAAAATGCAAAAAAAGAAACTACATCTTTCACATACGAGTCCATCCGTGTTAATTCGGTCAAGTTGCAAGAGATTCTTGACTCAATATTCTTTTGTATTCAACATTAAAAACAACAGTTTTATTTGTCAATATTTGAAAAATATCGAATAAAATAGGTAATCTTCCTATTGATTTAGGAGATAACCCTAGGGAGTGGCCATATAAAAAGAAATTTCGATAAAGTTTATAACAATATAATTTCCTTAATTAGAGGTGTTTTTTTTTTTTGGAAATTACTTTCATTCAAAATATCGGAATTCTAACAATCAATCTGTTACTATCAATAACTTTTTCAGAAATATGTGTATATTTTTCGCGAGTTTATTTTTAATATTTTTGTATGTTGGATGGGGGAAAGAACAGCTACCTCACATTGCTTTCCCTAGCTACAACCTGTAACATCATCCTTTGAATGAATTCAGCGAAGAGTCATTTTCAGGAACGGCTCGCTGTTCTGCCGGATCTGCCACGAGGGTGGAAGCAGCGAACAGTTCATTTCACCATGTTGCTGTAGAGGTTCCTTGTCCAGAGTCCACAAGACCTGCCTGGAAAGGTGGCTTGCGGAAAGCGATTCCAGCCACTGCGAGCTGTGCGGGTACAAGTACAGAACTAAAAGGGTGCCGAAGTGAGTAGTCTGAATACTGGTATGCATAAGTCGTTCGGTGAATCTGATATATTGGTGGAAATATATTACTATTAATTAGATTACAATAGTTAGTTTAATATTAGACTATGACATTCAATGGTAAACGAAATATGTTGAGTGATATCTTAAAGCTAAATTTTCGATTTTAAGGAGTAATCTACTTGGGACTCCATAAAATTTACAGTTGTAGTAAAAAAAAAATGTATTAATTTTTATTTTACACTGTATTATATATGGAGCTTAAGGTCTTGAGATCCTTCTGGGGCACACTCAATCCTCCTGTAAAGTAAAGCCTATATACCCGATACTTAATTTGATTAGATAAGATAAACTAAATTTACTAACTACTTTCAATTAATGTAGTTGACACATTATAAATGAGCTAGTTATTGGCGGAGCTAATCATAATATGTTGAAGAAGCCACATGCTCCTTTCCAGAAATAAAATTTACGCCAAGTTGCTTTTTGGAGTTAACACGTTTTGTTATTTTTACTTGGTTCCAGAATGTTAACGTTCAGCGCTTCTGGAAAATTCATTATTCAAATAAATTCCCTACTGCTTAAATATGCACAAAAAGAACTTCGTAGTTTAAGCACTTTTACCACTTGAAGGCTTTTAGGTTTTTAAGGATCCATCTTCCTGCAGGTACGGGCTGATGTCGTCGATCTTCGCCTGGCTGACCAGCAACTCGACCTCCAGAGAGCGGCGGAACCTCCTCATAGACATTTTGGCCCTGCTCATCATCAGTCCCATCATCGGCCTCTCCACCATCCTGGCGCTCCAGTTGGCAGACTCCCTCTTCATCCTGGAGTCCATGGAGAAGATGGAACAAACTGAAATACGCGTGCTTCCTCGAAGGGGTATCGAGCCAGATTTTTCGAACAAGGTATGAGAGATATTACTTTTTTTTTTAATATGATAAGTACGGAGATTTTTCGCCCGACTTGAACAATCTTTATATGTTAGAGACTATATTTGTGGAAATCATGTGGCACTTTTGTTTAGGCTTAAATTACTTCAATCTGTGTGTGCTCTAAAACTAAAATAAAGAGAAAAAAAAAGTTGTTACCCTCATTAGGTTGAGATTCTTTACTGTAATGATGGTTTCAAATATTTTTTTTAGAACCAATCAGCTAAGATCTTATCTTTTTTGTATTCCTCAGGAAGGCTGGAAGATCAGTGTTTGCGCCAACATGCACATGTATGAATGTAACGTTTGTTTAACTAGTAGTTCAAACCTCTCACTGCCTCTAATATTTGTGCTTACATGCCTTGTGTACATGTTACGTTTTTAGTTCTCAAGAAATCCCCTTTTATTCAATTCTCAAGAAGACAGTTTGTGATTTGTAATTATTTTGTTCCTTATAATTGATTCCTTATCTAAAACAGTCGGATAAGATTAAATAGTATCCAATTTTTTTTTATAATGTGTAATACTTTGGGTAGCATCTCCAGCCATCATTGCCTCGATTATTTACACGTCACCTATCTACGCTATATATAATACAGTGATACATATATTCCTTTTCCGACTCACAGGAGCGATGGATTTTGTCGAATGAGGTACAGAACGAAAGGGAATTTCATGGAAAAGTGACGAACCCAACTTCTATCCTTAAATTCCTTCAACAAGTTTAATAAAATATATTTTAAAAAAAATGGAAGGTTTTAAAACTCAGATGGTTTCAAATTCAACAAAACGAGACGGGATAAACTTTGTTTTCGCTATCATCAAGAGCCGGTATAGTCCCAAAAGAAATACCAGACCATGCTTTTTAAAGTTCCGTTTTCGAGATAAACCGTTGTTCTTGCCGAAAGCTTCTTGGAATTATAGTTGACATGGAATAATTATCAGGTTTTATTTTGCTTTTGAAAATTAAAACGTTGTTATTTTATTTATTTTTTTTTTTTTGGGTCCTTCCCTTCCTCGCCGCTAAGGCTATACGGGATTTTCCCGGGCCAGCGGGTGTGAGCGGCGATTTAAAAGACTCCCCGGCACCGGGATGCGAACTCGTGACTACTTTTATATGTCAGTGATTCATATGTCAGGTTGCCGGGCAACGGCGGTGCAGTGCACACGCTTTAGCCCATTCGGCCACCCCGCCCACAAAAATATTGTTATTTATTATTGTTTATTTATTAACTAAAAATCAGTTGAATTGGTAATAAGGTAATCTAAAGGGAGATAATAGCTGTATACAGGTGTGCACATGCCCCCCCCCCCCCAAGGTCGATGGCGCATTATCCCCCTCCACCCCTTCTCCTAAGATATTTTATTTCCTTTCTCTTCTTAAAACAGTGCAGGCTAAGGTAAAATTTTAAAAATCATAGGTCTTATACAATTACACTTTCAGTGGTCTGTACTATGCTTTTCTCTTGTCCGCTGGTTTGAAACTTTTCAATCCGAAAATTCATAACCCCGTCGAAATGTGCTCCCCTCAAAAATTCAGAACCCCGTCAAAATCGTGCCCCTCTCGACAATTTTGAGAAACTCCCTTGTGGGCACCTCTGGCTCTATAATCCCGGCACGGATAATATAGAGAAAAACGCTTTCATATTTCCCATAAATAAAAAAAAAAAAAATCGATGTATTACTTCTGTACTATCTGTAATAAACGTCTATATTATTAGTAAGGAAAATAATTATAAACCAATGCTGTTCTGCAAAAAACAAATACGTTGAGAGATAGAATGTTGGTTAGTTGTTGTATAGTAAAGGCGTAAAATCTGTTTAGATCTCTGAAGAGATAGAATGTGCACTATTGTCTAATTATTGGAGGGATATTTTCCACTAGGAAAAGCTAATCACTTATTAAGTAAATTGTATGTGAGAGTTCTCATTGGATTATACTAATGATGAATGTAGATGCTATTTTTTAATTTGGTTATACAAGAATGTAATCAGAATCCATGCTTAATCGATAGTTTATTTTTACCTGATAAATATAATATTGATTTTTAAGGTTGTTCACAGGAAACTCTGTATTTGATATTGTATTATTATGCCTAGTCGCACACGACCCTGGAAGTGGTGGGGACGATGATATCCCGACTGGGCCAGATGGGGATCATCTCGATGGTGATCACGATGGACATGGCCTACATCTCGTGGGTGGCGATGCGGCTCCAGGCCCACGTGACCAAGTGGTACACCTGGTACCGCCGCAACTGCAAGGTGACCCTCATCGGCTACCCGGACCAGGTGATTGTCCAGCCCTCGCTCCAGCGATCGTCCTCCATCTCCGTGCACCAAATCTCATTCTAAATCAATAAACACCAACATTATTTAAGTTTCCATTCATTTTATCAATAACATAGACTAATCATATTGTGAGGCCAATAACGTCAGCCAGTCACGTCATGTGTATTAGGCAAGAATGGTTAAACATGACAGTGGGCTGAAGTCCTTGGTCTAAGCACACCCCAAGTAGAAAGAGAAAAGAGAAAAGAGGATGTCTAATAATGCTCTGATACCTTTTTTGTTATATTAGTCCATATGGTGTTTATATATTAAATACAAAAAAAAAAAAAAAAAATGGAATACACTTGAGTTTTTTTGGCATAACCTTTTGTGCTCAAAGTGATACGTGAAACCAGCCACATCTTGTAATAAAGTTTTGAAATTAGTTACTAGCCAATTAAAAAAAAAAAAAATGGTGACAGTCGAGAATACTTCTGATCTGTACATATCTTTAAATAGAATTTTATTTGCGTGTTAGCAGGATAGAAAATGTTTTTTATGTTGGCATTACAGACCATGTGGATCGTTTTTCCACCTTAACTAGCCTACTTCATCTCTACCTGTCTTGGGCTATTTCTTTCAATTTATCTGCATGCAGCTTTATTGCATGTTTGTTGATTCTATTTATCCATCTGCTTTTTGGCATTTCCGTTGTCTTTTGCCTTCTATCGAGGCATTCATTGTTACCTCGAGGCTTCCACATGGATTGCTACGAGCTACATGTCATACCCATCGTAACCTCCTCGTGCCTTTATATCATGGGATATTGATTGACCAGTTTCTGTTTCTTCTCCGTGTGTTAGTACTCTGATCCCAGATCGCTCTCGTTATCGTACGGAGGATTTTTCAATAATTTTTTCTAGGTTGCTAGTTAAGGACCAGGTCACACAGCCAATAGAATTAGAAATTGTTTTATCATAGCATTGCACAATCATAATTTGAGATAATTGAGATTTTTCGGGATTCCATTACCTTCGAAAGAAAGAAAAAATATCTGTTTGCGCTAGTTACACGCTGGTCTATTGCAGACCGTTGGTCATTCATTGAGGTTATTGTGGAGCTGAGGTATTTGAATTTTTCTACTCACGGGAATGATTTTCCTTCTACTCAGATCCTATTGGGATGGTATTTTCGACTTATAATCATATATTTTGTTTTGTCAGGCGTTTCAGCAATGGGAATATGAAACAAGCAGGTGAACCAAGATCAAGTCCCGTATCGGTTGTTGATGATTACGTTCTTCTTGAATGTGTGAACCAGAACCCACATTCAACCACTCCTGATTTATTGGACGTACTATGGGCTTCTAATGCCCATTTGAGTTTAAGACCAAAGTCCGACCCACATTTATTACGACAGAGACCTAAGCCCAGCTGTGAGTTGATATTTGTAAAATTTTCCTTCAAAACTGTCAATCAAGATGTGGCTGGTTTCACGTATCACTTTGAGCATAAAAGGTTATACCAAAACAACTCCAGCCAAGACTCAAATACAGAGTCTTGCGCATTTTAGGTGACAGGTTCTGGAAAAAAAATTCACAAGTGAAGAAAACATACATGAATAGTTAGATAATATTTATGCAGATTTGAGTGTAAAGCATCCCCCACTCTGGTAACCAAGCCATTTCGCCCCTGCATATCGTTCTCGTTTGATTAAGGAAAAATTATCGGAATTGCAAGCAGTAAACATTTTGCCTCATTCTACGTATAGCCCTGATGAATTACCATCAGATTATGGTTTGTCTTGATCAGGAGTCTCCAAACGTTTTGTCCCGCGGGCCGCATTGAGACCTCCCCACAAATCTCGCGGGCCATGGCATGTGATGAAAAAATAGTCTTGTTCTATAAATGACACTTCAGCTGCGGGAGATAATTGAGATTTCTAAGAGAAAAAAACCTATGCAATATATATTGTAGTAACAACGTGTGTGAGTAATTAGTTAAATTTCATGTTTGTAAGTAGTTTTTGAAATTTTACTATTTGATCAAAGAAAAATTCGCATGCCGGACTGAACGTGCTTGCAATCCGGAGTTTGGAGACCCCTGGTTTAGATCAATGACTCATTTTGTGAAAGGTCGGGTCTTACGAAGATGAAACTATTGGATGTGAAGAGTTCTTTTCTCTCAAAACACCGAGTGTGTGCTCATCAAGTCCAATTACTGACAGAATGATGGATAAAACTAGTTGAGAACAATGGACTTTACTTTGAAGTGCAGTATTCACCAATGTTCAAAATATGTGATATGTAATAAAGCTTTTGATATGTAATTTAAACACAATATTTGTTACAACCGAATATAGATTAAAGATTTCTATGTACTTTAAAATTCTTAGTATATATACTCATATAGTATATAATGCTCAGAGACTGGTGTTCCGTGGTTTAAATGGATTGATGGAATCACTCTCCACCTTACCTATTACTTACGCTTACAAATAATTTTATTTCACATAATCTGTTCAAAATAAAATGTATTAGTTTTTAATTTTCAAACGGGCCTCTTTTTCCGGTAAATCTTCATACCAACTAGTCAGGTTCACTAAAAATAATGAAATATCATGTTTATTTATAATCTAATTTCTTTACTTACGTTAAAGGTTTTCACTGTTCCCTACGTCACACGTTGAAAAGATATGTAATTGGATATTAAATATGACTAATGTATAATCAAAGTTACAGGTAACATACAACACTGATCATGTAAACATTTTTTTTTTTTAACAAGCAGGTTAGAATTATAAATTTTGGTTTAAGGTTAGAAGGAGTAATACTGGTTGGTCACGATGAAGAAACATTTCACCTCGATTCCAAATGATCCAAAGCTTGATGAGAACAACTATATAATTGGATAATATTTCGAATTAGAAGGCGGAAGTGTATTAGTTCCGGAGAATAAATGATTTTCTAATTTGACGAATCTTTTTCGTTGAGGCGGAACCCTTCACTCGCTGCAGGATAGCCTCTTGAAAAAATAAAAGTACAGCTGAACTAACCTTTAAATTTATAAACAAAATGATATTTTGTGAAACTAAGAACTCCAACAAAATCCAACAAAACAGTGATTACTTTCGTTTATCGTGGAACACTTTAATTCAGTAACTAGCACGATGGAACCCCAAACTGATTCAGAATCGATTCGTAAGTGTTCACGTTTCAGTGAATATTGTATTTGACCGTGGAATTTATTAATAAGCATGATGTTAGACATCGTTTAGAACTTTGAGACTTGTCAGATTCATTCTGGGTCCGCCAATCCTTTATCTCAATAGTATGCATTAGCCAAGATGAGGAGGGGAGGAGAAAGATAAAAAACCTGCTCAGAGCATTCAGTTGCAGTATCCTAGGATACTGTAAGATCTGTAATTCATCTGATTTTTTATTTTTAAATTCAAGTTTGAATATATTCAATTATTAATCTGTATCGTGTGCATTGTAATTCTATAACATTAGAAAAACAGAATAACTGGGGAGTGCACATCCGATATTGACCGCACAACCGACCAACTACTTCTTAAATTAGAATTATGTTCAATTACCTCCACTTTCTAAGACACTATCTTTTCTTGCATAATGTTTTTTTTTTATAGATGCTCCAGAAGCTGCTGATACTGAAAGTAGAAATACGCCTAATGACCAACAGTCTTTAATCAAAAGTAAAATACAAGGAAGGCAAATGACTCCTATAGAGTATGTATTGTTGCATTAAACTTGGGGTGTCCAACCCATAATTCATATAAGGTGGGAGTAAGTAGATTTTAATTTTTTACTTTCGCTTGCATATATATGAAATATATAGTAAGGGTAAGTATATATAGGTAATTATAAGAAAATTTTCGAATCTGAGTTTTCAACGGAAATACATGTTTTGAGGTCTCCTGAGTCTAAATAACCAAGTCCCGCAACGCAAAATGGTCTGTGTGTGTGGGTGTGTGTATGTTTTTCAGCAGAAGAGCTCAAAAACGAAAAGTCTTACAAAACTGATATTACGTATTTAAGATAGCCTTAGATGTGAAAGCAACTTTTTTGTTAAAATCGTCTAACCGGAAATGCCACTTTATATCAACGCTGAAACAGATTTTTACAATTTTCTAAAAAACGGCTCTAACGATTTTGATTAAACTTGGTGTATCATTGTATAATTAAGTGGTTCTTTAACCTAATATCAATTAGGTCTTATCCCCATTGATGTCACTTTACAGGGTCTAAATGGCCAACGTTCATATACGTCTTCCTCTAAAGTACCTCAAATATGGTTCATTTTAAATAATTAATTAGCTCACATTATTTATTATATATTTTGATATTAAAAAGTTTTTTTTTAATAATTTTTTTTTTAGTGATGAAGGTATATTTTAAATTCGACATGTTTGATAGAGTTCAGAAAATTAAATACATTTTATTATATGAGTCTTGGAACAAAAAAGCCTATGTCTAAACTTTTGAAATTCAAATTAGCTGAAGGAAGAAAAGCAGGAGTAGTGTTGGTTTGCACTTATACAACTCCCACGCAATCGGTGGCTCACTAACCAAACGAAGAACAAGTTGGCGTCCATCCAGAGGACGATACAGTTGCGCGTCAACAGAGCATGTTGGACAATATCGCTCGAGATTTCTCTCGATCTTCTTCTGCAAGAAGATCCGATCAAGAGAGAAGGCTTGAGGAACAACCTTAACATTGAAGGAAATATTGAGAAAAGCCACTGTTCAGGAATGGAACAGGTCGGTGGGTCACGGCCTCTAAGGGGCTGCTCCAAGGTAGTATGCTGTTACTGTCCAGTCACGATTATTTCAAGATTGGGTCTCTCAAATGCTCACTGGGCATTGGATCTAAGTTGCGCAATCTTATAAACGAAATCGACATGTTGTGGCGTTCCGAAAGCTGCCGAACATATCACTAACTGCACTGAGGGCCACCGCCAAGAGTCTCTACATTGGCCTCTACATTATCGACGAAGATGTCCTCGTCTCAGCAAATAACTATCTGTACTATAGTAAATGTACTATGAGGCCTTTGTGTATGGATGGAAAGTGGAAAGAGAATGCGTAGCTCATTTCGTATTTAAGAATAAGATTGAAGAATAGTTGCGACACATTCCAATATGGGAAACCCTTTGGCATCCGTAAGAAATAAGTTGGACATCCCTGCATTTACATTTAGCACTTCTGATAAGCTTGACTTGTATCTTTTATTTAAAACAACAAAAATAAGTTTGAATGTTACAGTAGGACATTTTTTCACTACCGTTAGTTATTTCAGTAGTTGCTAATAGATATTTGGATCAATGTAATAAAGTTAGTACTACTTTCTTTGCAGCAGCGGTTGCAGAATCTGCTACCAGAGGAACTTATTAGAGCCGAACCTCTCCCTCTGCGGCTGTAAAGGCACCCTGGAGCTAGTACACAAGAGTTGCTTGGAGCTCTGGCTGGCTTCGAGTCGCCAGAACAAGTGCGAGCTCTGCGGCTACAGGTTCAATCTCAGAAAGAAACTCAAGTAGGCTAGGGAATTTAATAATTATATTATAAGTTCATTAACAGAGTAAATTTGCTAACTCTGTTAAGTGAATTCAATTTGTTTTTACTGATATCACTGATAGCTATTATCATATTAGGTACGGAGTCTTTAGAGCGATCGTGGTTTGGTTTACGCTAAAGAGGTCGAGGGATGATAGAATAGAAATGGCCCTGGACATACTGAAGCTATCGGCAGCACTGGCGGTGCTCTTCGTCATCAACTACCAGACGCTGGAACTCTTGGGCAGCATCCAGCGGTTAGACATGTCCTTACAGGACTTTGTTGATCCTTTTATCGAGCCAGAACTGAATTGGAACGTAATCATGACTCAGTAGTAATATTTACTATTTATCATTAATTACCTATATTTATAAATATAATTCATAGTATTCTTATGAATAGTTGCTTATATTATTTTCTATTGGTTTTGCAAAAACTGAATGAAGGTGGTACAGATATGTACCAGGTTTGTTAACAAATACAGATAATTATGATTTTATGTTCACCTGTCCCCTCCATTGTAAACCTATGACGTCTTGTCCTGCAGTTTCCTTCAACAATATTCCACTGTTCATATTCAACAATACCCCTGTTGAACAAATAAGCCACATAAGACTCCCCTGGGACCAACTTCTTACTTGGAATTCGCAATCAAGAAACTGCTCGATGTTTCCCTCTGCTCCAACACTTCCAACTAACTTTTAGTTAACTAAAATAAAAAAGGCTAATTTAAATTACTGTAATAAGGCCTGTATAGATATACTGAGCTGAGAGTTGAGCTTTGGGACTCCAACCAAATCATCGAATCCCTATCATATTCAATCCTCACAATCCACAATTCTCCATATTTTATCAGAAATAAAATCATTCATAAAGATCTTAATGTACTATAAATTACTGATTCCTCTGTTCTAGACTTGTGTAAACCCACTCGTTTCCACCCTTGCTTATCTTTTGACTTATAGCAATTAATGGAGATCTACCGTTGTGTAGTATCTCCACAAATCTGTTCATGACACTATTTTCGATTTTTTCACATTTAATTGTTTCATTTATTTACTGTAATTGTAAATTTCAATAAAACAAAACTTTTCGCCTATCTTTCTGATTTTTTTTATTCGCCTAATTATTCGTACTACCGAAAATAAACTCCTTTTTGTTCCATTTAATTACAGAGAAACAGCGCTCCTTACGGTTGTGGTGACCACCTAGTTGGATTCTGAAGAAGTAGGAACACGCCAAACTCAATATATCTTCATCCTAAAACAAGTACTCGAAACACGATGGGAGTAGATTAGGATGTTTACGCCTTATTTGGAAAATCATGACCCGGGATGATGCTGATATTGACAAAGGCGCGTAAAAATACCTTAGATATCGAGAACTAAAACAAGGAGAGGTCTCTGAAGCCTTCTACGTTCGAACTGGCTTATTGTAGGGAGATGGACTCTTACCGATGTCATAACTTAAGAAAGTGATAAGAACAATATCACGTGAAAACGGAGAGGTCAACTTCGGAATGAAATCCTCGGACATGCAGATCATATAGCTGTCCTTGGAAGCAAACAAGAATACAAAACCTCGTTAAGTCTCTGATGACAGAAGCAGAGCAAATCAGCCTACAAGGAAATGAAAAAAAAAAAAAAAAAAAGTGAGCCGAAAATACCGAAAAATCCCAATAACAGAATCTGCATCGAAGGGAAATTGTTCCCGAGAGTAGAAAAATTTAAATACCTCGATTCCACAATAACCTCAATGAATGATCAACTATCGGAATAGAGCAGTGTATAAAAAGCTCAAACAAAGGTTTCTTCTCACTATCAAAGGTATTGTCTATAGGGTCCTAACATTCTTGGAGATTGGTGGATTCTCTTGAAATTATAGTAGTTTGTCAAGGTTATTTAAAAAAAAAACTGGCAATGCAGAACTTGTAGATCTTTTGCCGTCTTAATAAGCCTTCTGTATCGCTGGTTATTAGGAGGTATTTCGTTCCAATTACCTGCAGGCAGCTCTGTTGCATCGTTGTTGACTTTATCTATCCATCTGCTTGTTGACCTTCCACCTAATCTTTTACTTACTATTGAGGCAATCATTGTCGTGTAGAGGCTTCCAGATGGATCGCTCCGAGTTACATGCGCCGACCTTCTTAATCTCCTACAACTGGCTTAATCGTAGCATTGTACATCCTTGATTTGAGATTTCTTGGGTTTGTTTCAGGATCTCAATGTCTCAAGTCTCAAGAAATCTCAAATTAAGGATTTACAATGCTACGTTAAAGCCAGTTCTAGCATCTTATAAAAAAGTACTTGAGATTTGAGAGGAATGATTGAACCGGAGTGGTCTGGGATCTGAGTATTAACACCTGGAGGAAAAAGAGCTATAAATATATTGATTGACCTACGCAAAAGTGGTCAATCGATATCTCATGATATAAAGGCAAGGAGGTTAAGATGGTCGGCGCATGTAACTTGGAGCGATCCGTCTGGAAGCCTCGATAATGAATGCCTCAATAGTAAGCAAAAGATCAGTTGGAAGGCCAAAAAGCAGATGGATAGACCGAATTAACAACGATGCAACAGAGCTGCATGCAGGTAACTGGAAAGAAATACCTCCTGAAAGTCAGCGATACAGAAGGCTTATTAAGACGGCAAAATATCTACAAGGTCTATAATACCAGTTTTTATTAATCACCTTAAAAAGCTGCTTTACTTTCAAGACGATGCACCAATGCGCAGGAATGTTAGGACTCCATAGACACTAAGGGCACAAAACATTTCGTGAAATGTTGCTAAAACAGAAGCTGTTGATGTTTGTTAACAAAATTTTACTTGTACCTACTTTTTTGGGAAGACTTAAGTTTTTTTTTTTTAATTTTTGATCTCAATGAATACAATTGGAAATATTGTTTGTAGAATAATAGTTTTCTTGTCTTAACGTCCACTGGAACGAACATGACCAATATTTATCGATGTATAATTACCAAGAAATATTTGATTGAAATCCAAGTGACTATACAACATGTGATCAACTGACTGTGACCTTTTGTTAGTGAGTTATTTCAATAAATCGACGCTTTACAAGATATATAAGTAATACATGTAAATACCTATTAAAAACATATTATAAATTTTCTCACTGAGATCTGAAGTGAACTTCTCCACTTATTGTTAGTCGGACACATTGCTGGTCTATTGTGGTTATGTTTCGACTTCATAAGACTAGAGTGAGTTAAAGAAAATTTTATAAAATATTTTTGAACAAATATGAGTCAGCTGATCCGTCAAGTTGGCTGAATTTTTGGTCAAGCAGACACTAAGGTTTGCTAGATTAGATGTGGCTCGAAGCTGTGGTGTCCAGGGTGTGAGCGCAATCGAACTTGTCTATATAATATTTTATTTTGGGTCTATATAATATTGCTATTTTTAAAAATTACATTTAAGTTACAAACTGCACAATGTCCTAATAAATCTGAATGAGAACAGTTATCTTATAAGCAGTTATTTCTTACAACTTATCGTCTACTTCCTTCAGGATCTGGCAGAAGTTGGCAATAAGATATTGAAAATGCTCTCGCTAGCCGTGGCCACGCCGATAACTCTGGACTACATCGCGACTAAGATGCACAATCTGGACTTCTATATCAGTCATTGGTATCGGTGGTATGAGTCTCAGATTATCGTTGAGCTCATGCCATCCTAGCTCTGGAAATGGCATTCCAAATAAATTTGTCAACCCTTCAGTTTTTTTTTTTATTATCTATATATTATAGTCCGTGGTACAGATACCTTATTTTATCGAATTATTAATATCCGCCTGAAACTTCGCCTGAAAAAGTTTCAACTCATCGTAACCCACAACTATTTTATTTACGAAAACTATCGGAATTAGGGCGTTTTCAATCTGGAGGAGGGCAAACTTTGTCTATTTAATTAGGTACTAAAAAACTCATAAATATAAATTTGCTTTCTACTTGGATCATAGGATAATTTGATCACAAAATCGATAAAAAAGGCGTTCTACAAAAATATTGGGCCATTTGTCCAATATAACCTCGTTATTTTGAATATTAGACAGTGTAGTTCACGCCAAACGGACCAATATTTTTGAAGGCCACCTACAGACTATTTACGAATTTTCAGGAAGATGTGAATAATTCGATAAAAAGAGATCTGTGCCACGGACTATTAGGGTATTCAAAATGTGCATTATAAAAAGCCGAAGGTAAAAACTAATTAAGAAGAGTGCACATTATTTTTCTCAACCCTTTATCCTTCCTTGACATAGTTATTTTGTATAATTGCTCCTTAAGTCCTTAAGCATAATGGCCACCGATGCAATGTTGCTCGCGCAACCTAACTTTCACTTACCGCTCTACTTGGAATGAAATTATTTTCTGGCGATATTGGGCTATTATAAAATTTTTGAAGTGCATTTTCTACTGAGCAAAAAATTAAAATTAACAGCTAACAAATCATTAATACCATTTAAATAACAAAAATCCTATTTATTATATCAATGGTTGATTATGGATTGCATGATCCGTTGATTATGGATTGTACGACTATTACTTATTAAACTGTTATTTATAAACTATAACTTATGGTTATTTCGACTCAGGGGACCTCAAAAAATGTATTTCCGTTCAGATTAGAAAACTCAGATTAGAAAATTTTCATGAACGCAGTACTCTACCACTTTGAAGGTACGCCTACACAGGGCGTTTCAGGGTCAAGTGGCCGAACTGAATATATGAATTCAGGAACTCATAACAAGAAAAAAAATTCCTATGAAGGTATGTCCGCGAACGGTTTGTTTAGGAGATATGCACACCTAATGATTTTCATTGCTATGAATTATTTACGTTATATTAAGTAAATAAAACTTATTTATTCGTTCCAACTACTTTAATAATTAAACGTAAACATTAAATTCATATTAAATGTTGTTCAAAGTGATTTCCTTTGAGCATTGAGACAGGCTCGGCATCTTTCTTCAACAGCAGCAGTGGCAGAACCGCACCGGATATGTGTTATTGTTTCACAAGATTCAATTATCCTTCTTCGTAAGGAATTAAGGTCATTGACCGGACTTGCATAGAACTTTTGTTTAATGTCAAACCAAAAGGAAAACAAACAAAAAAAAAAAAAAATGCAGTGGTGTCAGGTCTGGAGAGCGTGCAGATCAAGCCACTGATTCTGCACGGCCAATCCATTGATTGGGATAATTAACATTTAGCCATTGTCGTGTATGTCTTCCATAATGTGCAGGACAACCAATCTAATTGAAGCCACATGTCCCTTCTCAGTTGTAGTGGAATATGTTCAACTAAATCATAGTAATCATTATTAAGAAATTCCAAAAATGTGTCCGCATTGATTCGAGGCGGCAAAATGCTGACCTATTAAAATATTGTCTATTATTCCCAACCACACATTGCACTGAAACTGTCCAATTATTTTTCTGATTGAAGATACCTCTTCTAGTAAAGGTAGATTTATCGGTCCAGAGAATTTTCCTTGAAAATTGTGAATTATGAAGAATATTTAATATGAATGTTAATGTTAACATTAAATTAATAAAGTAATTTGAACAAATAAATAGGTTTTATTTATTTCATATAACGAAAATCTTTAAGTGCGAATATCTTCTGAACAAAGCGTTTGCATACATAGCTTCAGAGGAAATTTTGTTTTTTGTTTTGAGGTCCTCAGTTGCAGTTTGGCCACTTAATCCTGAAACGCTCTGTATATTGCGTATATAGGCATGTGGAAGTAAAAATTGCTCAAGCAAAATAATTTTCAATGGAGAAAATATAATGAAGTTCTGTCCCCAACGTTGATACCGCTACAAACGTGGATTTGTAGGCTTTAACGAGTGTACCTCTGTGTTTTGGTTTTGTTGGGCTTTGTCAGTTCTTGTGTACCAAATTGGAAAACCGTGCGCACTAGCTTAAAAACTTGCTTTGTTGTAGACTCCTGCTCAATACGATTGTAATGAAACTTGTGTAAATTATTTTTATAGAAGTTCATGACCATTTTCTACCTTTTTTTTCAATTGTTTATTGAGAGATTCTGTCACATTCAAGTTTAAAAATGGAAATAATAGATATAGAATAGCTCATTCATCCATGTATCTATTTAACAAAATTTTTGTTTGAGTATTACAACAATCTGTCTCTTGGACTTAGTTATAGTAAGGTAAGATAACTCACACTATATGTACAAAAAATATAAAATAAATAGAAGCAAAATAATAATCAAAAGTATATATACGCTTCGGCGGTACATATACTACAAAACAAACAAAATTTGTGACTTTTGAAATTTCGTTTTTACTAATGCCGCTTTACATGCTAAACGATTCGTTCAATGATAAAATTGAATTATCATTATTGTTAGTCTCAGTACGCTGAAAAAAAAAAATGAATTCTTGCACGAATCGAAATAAAGAATTACAATAATCGAAATTCCTAATTAAAATTAAAGTAAAAACTAGGTGATCATTTAAACATGAAATTTTGATAAAAACAAGATTACCAGTGTGCGATTTCAATTTAAAAAAAGTATAAGTATTTATCAAATAATGATATTTACGAATTAGCTAAGAATGGCCTATTGCTACTATATAAAATATGTAACATAAATAGAATTTTCTTTGGAGTAAAATGACATTGGGATGACCACCCTTGCAACATTATAAGGGAATTTAAAAGGGAACATTATCCATATGAGTATTTGAAACCTTATTAAATTCCCAACAAAACGTAAAAAAAAAAATCATCGAAATCGATAACAGTTGTGTCTGATATAGATATTTTCTTTCTTTTTCTTTTTTTTTTGCACTCATATTCAATTTATATTACTCAAGAGAGCTCGGTGAGGAAGCTATACTGACCTTACTAGGCAGATGTTTTTTTAGATGAAAAATATGATGGTCTCCTTCCAGATTCTGCTTTCCTTTATGGTGAACTTTTACTAATAGCTGGACTATATCACATGAAATATTGTCAGGTTCTTTCCCACTGAAAAAGAATAATAAAAAAGTGTTGCCAGAACAACCATTAACACCCGTGGAGAATTATTTTATCTGCCTTACATTCCAAGCATTAGATAGAAAAAACATTCCAAAATTCTGGCCTATAACAGTGAAAAAGCTGTAGATTTAATTAATACTACCGTCTTTAAATAAATAAATATGTAAAATGAGAATTTACAATTTAATACCACCGTGTTTTTGTTTTCTAAAGCTCAAGTTCTCTACGAAAAAGGTATTTCAAGACGAGAGACAGCAAATGATGAAATAATATCGGAATGAATCGCTGCAATTTCAAGTTCTTAATTTAGTTTTTACATAATAAAATTATTTAAAAATTATTTTATTTTATAAAACAACTACTTAAAAAAAAGACTTTCCTTTTATATTCCTTATATTGTGAAACCTTAGTGCCGCTATTATGCACCAGCCCACAAAGGCTCACTTCTGCCACAATTCGTATTACCGGGATGTGGTTAGCAATTCCTACCCACTGCACTTTTTAGTCCAACCAGCTCTATCGAAAACTGTCTTCTCTCAGCTATAGTTTCTCAATAATGAGAATCCAGATGATACTTCTTGTATATAATTATTATTTATTTACATACATTTTTTTTTAAAATGCTGATGTGTAGTTTTTCTAATAACCCGAAAACTATACAACCCTCCGAAACATTCCAGATACTCATGAAACATTTTATGGCTATTCTCTTGTTAAAACTGAGCAAGCGAATGTATAATTAGAAAAAATTTAAATCATAAACATTTGGACAACGTTTGGACATTAGTTCCAGTGCTTACGTGAATCCAATGCTAAAGTACGTCATTAAACGCCCTGTAACGATGTAAACATCATGGAGGAAATCTTGAACAAACTAATTATGTTTGTGTTCAAATAATTGGTACATATTAAAATATTTTGTTTTTAAATATTGAATGAAACGATTTTATGTTGGTGAGAATAAGGGACAATAGTTTTAGGATAAAAGAATTATAGAGTTTAGATCTGGGAGAAGAATACCACATCAATGAGATACGGATAATTAGTCATTTATTTCAACTGATATAAATCACGAAATTGATAAAGTCAAGTTCATTTCTTTTCCAATTCTCTGGTGCTCTCTGGTAGTACGACATTGATGATGCACTGCGTCCTGTACCACCTGTGCCACTGAAGGTAGTGTTCTTCAAACCTGGAGAAAAGCCAGCCTATAGCAAAGACGTCCATAGCTGACGTGAATCCAACGCTAAAGTACGTCATCAAACGCCCGGTAACGATGAATATATCCTTCATGGAGGTAATCTTGAACAAAATAATTATGTCTGTGTTCAAATAATTGGTGCATATTAAAATAATTTGTTTTTAAATATTAATTTACATCAAAATATTATGATAGGAGATTAATAGTTTTGAGTTTGGCTAATATTTTATAGTTGAGAAAAAATCTTGAGAAGAAAGCTAACTTTTTAAAGATAGAGATTAATTTATGATTTGAAAAATTTAAGTTAAGATCTGGTTGATGAGTCAAAGATTAAAGAAATCTTGGATTTAGCTTTATTATAACTTTTACACGTCCATTCCCAGATTAATTAATTTCAATAATTAAGAATAAGTTGAATCAAAGAACAACTCCTGACAATTTGAATGAAAAGTTTGGGTAAGTTAAGTGATCATTTTTTAAATTTACTTATAACTTTCTTAAATATTTTAAAATAACTTAGGAAATAAGACGGTTTAATTATATGTAATTGATGACTATAGTTTTATAAGAAGTTCAGCAATCATCGAAAGTTTAGAGATTAACATTTTCAAAAATCGATGGTTACATTAGGCATAGAGAAAGGTAGTCAAGATGTGAGAATATTAATCTCTCACTAAGGTTAGTTTCTTCTAGAAGCGAAACTGAAACGCCCACAATTCCAGTGACCAACAATTTAATACTTGCACAAGGCAAATAAAATAAATATATATATATATACAAATAAGAATATCTTATTGATATTACATTTAAATAGGATTCAATATTTTTTATGAATGAAAAGAAATCGCAGGCTTCTGGTTCATCAAAGTGAAATATCTCGAAGAGCACTGCTGTGAGGTGGTTGATAAAAAGGATAATCGGTAAAGTAACGGCGAGGCGAATGATGTCGAGGACTATATGGAGCCTATCCAACCTGCACTCGTCTGATTGCATCCAAATTGTCACTGCTCTCAAAATGCCAAACCTAAAAAGTAAACGGTTGGTGAAAAGTAAGGTTGGTGTTACGGTTTGGGTAAGAATTGTTATACCGTTATCACTATCGGAGGAGTATACTGACTTCGGTTGCCTCTTGATCGTGAAGTTGTAAAGGCAGAGTTCGCACCTGTTGGAGTCGCTAGCGGCCAGCCATCGCTCCAAGCAGCTTTTGTGGATGAGGCCCATGGTGCCTCTGCAATGGCACAGCGAGAGGTTGGGCTCCGAGAGGCTCCTCTGGTGGCAGATCCTGCAGAAGTCCCTAACAAAAAAACCATACTTTCATCGATTAACATCACAGAAACAACAATTTTCCATTCAACTACAAAAGTTTTATATACTCACGTCTCTGGTGTTGCTGTCCTCTCATGTATGGAGGTAAAGCTGAAGTTGAAGTTCTCCATTAGGAATTGGTTCGAGCTAAAATCGCTTTCCATCGTAGATGAGCTTTCTCTCGTGATAAACGGTGCGTGTTCTTGTTCCTTTTGGACCTGCACAGTTTCCGATGTATTTCCTTGCCCCTGATCAACATCTTGTTGGTGGTTGTCGTCTTGTGGTCCAGGTTCTTGCTCTTCCGGATCGTGTACACCTGTGGAAGTACCTTCTTGATCCTGGATATCACCAACATCAAAGGCTGGAGCATTAAGATAAAAATAAAAAAAGTTAGCCTCTTTATTTCTAGGTCTTCAACAATTTTATAATATGCTGTAATGAGGACTGCCTTTAATGCTATAGTTGTGGTTTGAGCGATCAATGTTTTTTAGAAATTGCCTTATGCTGTCTACGGTATTATTTACAAGCAGTAGTTAACGGTTGAGGCATATATATTGAATCAAATCACAGTCGCTGTTCGGCTGGTTTGGAATTAAGCTGTTAATCTTTGACATGTTATGTTTAGTCTTAATCAATGTGATTTGGCGGTGTTAATTCCTATTGTTCCTTAAGTCGGCAAAATGTACTCATTTGATATTTGATGGAATAAATGAATTTATCATTTAACAATCTTCATATACAGAAGTCGCCAGAAAATGCTTCACGATATAACAAAAAAGTTTACATGCCCAATATCAATGACATGCTCATAAAAGAAACATGAAGTAAAAATATGAGGCCTAGAAAATCAGGTCGATCATGTTATGATGACAATGAGACATTCCTTTAATATTACTATACGTTTTGTGAAAGCACACCTAAAGTAAAGAACAGTAAAGATGGCAAAGTCATATATGTTTTAAAAAAAAAGTTTAATGATTAGGTAATTAATAAACGCTTTGAAGAAATAGAAGGGATACATAACAGGAGTGCTAGAAGAACACAACGAATATTGATGTAAAAAATTGTAGGAGTTGAATTGATTTAGGTGCTGAACAACCGAAAACGAAAAATTACAAAAGTAAATCAGACGAGGTTCTGGAAGTAGAGAATGGGGCTACAAAAAGATAGTAAATGCCCCATCTTTTCATTAAACATTTCAACAGATATTGGATTTCTTGAAGCTGTTGAATGTGATGCAATATAATGCCACAGATGAGAAAATTGAATTAATTATGAATTGAATGAAAGGAAGAGTGAGAAGCAGGTGGCTAAATGAGGTGGATAGGAAGTTTGTTGTTTACAACTGGATGAATAATGCGCAGGTCAGAGAAAAATGCAAGATGATTGTTCAGAAGTCCAAGGATTATTCAGATCTGTTGAGATAGGCAAGCAGGTAAGAACCTACATTTATACATAATCCCTCGCTCTCACCCCTGGCCTAAGAAACCTCGTACACCCTAAAAGAAGAAGGGACGAACAAAAAAAAAAAAAAAAAAATGATGTTTATAACTTAATAACCAAACCAATATTTCCTCTTAGAGCATCGGAATCGTATTCTCAAATTACACTTACACTACACTTACTAATACCATGAACAAGTTCTTCACTGAGAAAAGAATTAAACGTGATCACCTTCTGTCGATACTGCCATTATTCTCTTTATTTCAGTCTGCCGGGTAATTTTGAATCATATTTTCTTTCAGATAATTAGCTCGAGAGACGCTTTCGCCAAATGTGTAACACTCCATTCTTTTTCGCATGGTCTCAGTTCTCGCTTTTGCTGCAACACATATTAAGAAATTATTTACTAGTATCTTAAAATGCAGCACGTTTGTGCACATTAATTTAATTTAATACCGAAGCAATCCGTCTATACCAGAAAATAGACGGAACGACCGATCTCCAACTTTTTTTAGCAGATTGATGACATTTGGTTAACTTATCCTACAGGTAATCATTCTATCCTACTCAGTAGAGTGCCTAAACCGTATGGGGCCTCCCCAATAAAATCTCCTATAGTGAGGAGCCACGAAGTAAGTGGCGAAGTAATCTTTCATTGCAAAGTTTACTAAAACGGAATTAAGAGATTTGCATTGTCTGTCATAGACAGGTCAAAAGTTGTCACACTAATTGTAAGTGGATACTGTTGGAATATCGCAAAGGAAAAATTCATCAAGTTATTCACTAATTTAATTTTTTTAAAAGTTACATGACAATTTTTCGGAATAAAAGGACGTTGATACCTAATTACTTAAATTTAATATCAGATCTAGAATTATTAAACTACAGTAAATGTATTTAAGGGTATAAACATCTGCTTTATACATCCATTAAATGATTTGATATGTCACATCTTCTTTCACACAAATACAATGAAATAGTTTTTTAAACAACGGAACTGACTTGATTAGGTGGATTTTAAATATTTTTTTCAAACTTAAAATTGTTTTAAAAGTTTATATTTAGTTAGTAAATATCATTTAATTTCCTTGAAAAACATGTGATTAACGTTAAATGATATTAGTTTTCAAAAATTATTATTTACAATTTTTTCACCATTCTCCGTTACCTTGTACAGCTTTCTATATTAGATATTGTTTTTCTTCTAAAATTCTCCGCTTTCTAACGATATATTATACGCATACCTTCTGACTAGTATTTCCGGAGATTCATTTTCAACCTGGATATGCATCTTTATTTTTTTCTCCTTTATTTAATGATACATGATTATTTACTTAATAGGTATATTTTCACTAGGAAAATGGATGGAACAAAAAATCGATAAGAAAAATAATGTGCTCGTTACATCGATTTCACTACAGACAGACAGACGCCAAACCGAATTTGATCCTTGATGTCTGAAACATTGAACGCGAATGAAAATTCTGAGCACACAATTTTCTTTGATCTCTCGCAGGAATACAATGCTTCCCTACCTTCGGTAGTGATGAAACAATAAATAAAATAATTAAAATTAAATGAATACTCTTCTATGTTCTATGATCAGGCACGTTAATAAAATTTTTATTATTTAATTAAAGTGTATTAATATGGTGAATTAAATAAATCTAGATTTTCCCAATTATTATTTTCAGTAAAGTCATCATTTAATTAAAAAACAAAACGAAAATCTCCTTGGGCCTCCTTCGCCTTCCCCAAGGCGCTACTGATTCTAGCCGGTGAACGAACGTTCAAACGGTGAACGAATGTTTTGCTCTTAAAAACTTCCGAAAGTCAGTTTCAAGAATTTTGGAAAACATTAGTGTTGCCCAAAATCGACGAAGGCCGCCTAGCATATGCAAGACCAAGACCAGGACTGATAAAAATATCATGATTTTTAAAATAAAAATTAGGGCAGAATAGTTACTAATACTCGACAATTTTAGTTACTATATGTTAATAATTGGTATAACCAATATAATTATGCATTTACCTCCTCTAATTTTTCATTCGGGCTCAGTTAGGTCCCTCTTATCTAAAAAGTGTCTCTATAGTAATAAGCTAATCAGTAACTGCAAGACTGTTGCGAGACTCTTGAACAACACCATGACCATGACCAAGACTGAGGTTGCAAGATCAAGATTCCTCTCGGTCTCGCATTTGGGCAACAATAGAAAACATAACAAAAGAAATATCATAAATTTTGAGAATAGTTAGTCAACAACGATCAATATAATCAATAACCATGAAATGGGCATGGCATGGAATTAAAATAAAATCTGAATATAAATCTATAATCTTCCTAAAATACAAAAATAAAGGCCCAGTACTTACGGCAGGTTATTGGTTGTCCTTTATCCATAATCATTTGTATTATTTTTTTTTTGATACTTAATAGTTTAACTTTTTTTTTCTTTTTTTTAAACTTTTTTATTTATTTGATACCATAATGGTATCTCGAAATTGGCACTGCCAATTCCAAGATAGCGTCTGTGATCATATCATGGACAAAGTTGATAAAACTTTGATGAAGACAGCTGTGCTAAGTCTGCAATCCTAAAATTAAATCACATGTACTATGTATTATTATTTATTTAGTAACATTTAAGAAGAAATTCAAAAACATTAACCTAAGATGAAATTCTCCATCATGTTTTCACATTTTCAGTATAATTGTAAGAATACTTTATAAAGGGCACTTCATTTCGGACAACTATTTATACTAACTAAATACCAACGAAGTTACAGCTATTCAATTTCCAGTGTAAGATTAAAGGTACATATCCTAGTGTCAGAAAGGGATGAGTAAGAGAAAAAAGATAACTTAGTGAAAGAAAGAAAATGTGTTGCCTGCATCACACAAGCTCCACTATTACTTATACTTTGAACAGAAATTATTGTTTGACAAGGCAGAGAGATCCGTTATCTCCCTTGTTGTTTATTCTGGTGTTGGAGATAAGTTTTTGGTCTCTTGAATGGGAAAATGCAGGCATAAAGGTGAATGGTCGATTTTTAAGCAACTTGCGTTTTCCAGATGACATTGTACTTTTTGCCGACAATTACGAGAAATGCTAAAACACCTTCTAGGGGCCTGTGAAGAAATTGGTCTATACCCAAACCACAATAAGACGAAACTAATGACCAATAGTTCAAAGGAAGAAATAAAAATGAACAACTTCACCCTGGAACACGTACAGGAATATGTTTACTTGGGAAACTCAGTTTCCTTTTCAGAGTTACAAAAGAAGTCCAGAGAAGAATAGCATTTGGTTGGAGCAAGTTCTGGTCTCTGAAGTACATAACAAAAGGAAACATAGGTATCGACCTAAAAAGGCTAGTTTTCGATAGATATATTATGCCAGTGGTGACCTATGACTCCAAAACACGGTCATTGACAAAAGCCCAAGAGAGGAAGATCAAGAAGATAGATATAATCAGATGCAAGAAGATAAAAGAAGAAACAGAGCTCAAAGACACACTCTCGCAAATAAGCAAAGTCAAATGGAAGTGGGCTGGACATCTGCGATGCAATGATAACAGATGGTCAAAAATAGTCACCGTATGGATTCCATATGCCCGGAAAAGGATGAGAGGCCGACAAATGAAGAGATGGAGAGACACATTTACGCTTTTGGCAGGACCTATCTAGTGGAGAGCAGCTAGGGACAGAGAGGTGTGGAAAGAAAAATGGTTAAATATCAGAAATCCCGCTTCCCAGTAGGGCTAGTCACCCAGGGAAGTGTTAAAGACTATTACTCCTAAGGAAAGGCCTATGCAAGAATAGTGAAAAGTTTTTTATAAATTATAATAATGTTAACAATTGTTTTATTTTGTTTTGTAATTGTATGTTTTCATAGAAATCGTAATATTTATGCATAAATAAAGGCTATTTTCATTTCATTTCATTGTTTGACAAAATTAGGCTATGGTAAAAAGTTTTTGATCTGCAATATTAGAGGGTATTGAAATTTTTACACTGATCTACCTTAAGCCGGTTTACATTGCTTAAGTTTATCAAATAAATCGTACTCAAATCTTACTTTGATCAATTTTTTTTGTTTCTTGATGGACATATGTAAAGATATAAAAACTTTTCTGAGTTAGGTAGGAAAGTCGTGTGGATGGACACATCAGATTTTTATTCTATGGTTAATAGGTGCTTTTTATGTATGTTTAAAAAATTGGACAGTTCAAATTTATTTAGCATATTCAATAGTAAGTACAACTCTTCAGCAAACCATATTACTTATAACCATAAGTGTTTTATTTATTTTAATTTTACTCATACATACATATGTGGCGCGACATCCCGTTACCGAGACTGGGCCTCCTCCAAGAGCCTCCGCCAGTTGGCTCTGTCTTCTTCAGTTCCGTACGCCAAGCAGGGTTCTTGCATCATAGGCCACGTTGTCCAACCATCTCGTCCTCGGCCTTCCTACCCATCTTGCGAAGTGCACCTCCTCCATCATTATTTTCTTGGGTACTTCAACGGTGCTCATTCTGGCCACATGCCCTGCCCACCTTAGTCTGGCCAATTTAATATACGTGGCTACGTCGATGTCTGTATAAAGAGAACTGAGCTCCCTATTTTTTCTTTTCCTCCAGACATCACCCTCCTTTACTGGACCATAAATCCTTCTGTGGACTCCTCGCTCAAACACACTCAGCTTCATCTCATCGTTTTTCGTCATCGTCCAAGCCTCTGAGCCATATGGCCGTCATATAAACAGGCCATACAAGGGACATCTATTGGCAGCCGTGATCCTTCTCTGTATTTCTTGAGCCATGTCATTTTTGCTATTAATTTCAGACCCAAGATATATAAAACTTTTTACTCTCTCAAACTTAAAAGAACCTACCTCAAATGGAAAGTTCAGATCCACCTCACCACCAACTCTCATATACTCAGTTTCCTCTCGTTGACTTCTAGACCAAATCGTCTTGCAGCTGCTTCAAGGTCTTGCAGATGCTTCTCTGAGAGCCCGTTCAGGCATACCTATTATGTCAATATCATCAGCAAAACCAAGAAGCTGTGTCAGGTGATTGAAGATTATATCGCTGTTCTGAATACCGCAGTCTCTTACAGCTTTCTCCTCTGCCAAGTTGAACAATAGACAGGCGAGGGCATCCCTTTGCCGAACCCCACTTCTCACTTTAAATTCTTCGGAGGCATCAGAACCGACGCGTATTCTACATCTCGAGCTATCCATGGTCATCTTGATTAGGAGTACGAGCTTCTGAGGGATGCTTAGCTCCTCCAAGGCGCAGTATAGTTGTGCTCTATCAACGCTGTCGTATGTTGCTTTAAAGTCCAGGAATAAATGGTGGGTGACTACCTTAAGCTCCATAGTCTTTTCTAGGACCATCCTGAGAGAGAACAGTTGATCAGTGGTTGAGCGTCCTCGTCGAAATCCAGCCTGAAATTTCCCCAGTACCTTTTCAGAGTACGAGAGGATCCTCTCAAAAAGAATGTTAGAGAGCAGCTTATAAGCACACGAAAGGAGTGAGATTCCTCGATAGTTAGCGCATTCTGTTTCATCTCCTTTCTTATGTATTGGGCAGATAATGGCTATTGCCCATTCCGTAGGCATAGCTTCCCTCTCCCAGATGGTCAGCATTAAATCATGCAGAGCTTTCTTGAGTTCTTCACCTCCACATTTCAACAGCTCTGACTGGATTCCGTCCGGGCCTGGCGCCTTTCCATTTTTTAATTTCCACAGGGCGTTTTCCATTTCCTCCTCATCCGGGGGTTCAATAGAATTCAGGGAGTCTTTCTTCATTACTCCTACTTCTCCAGGCACCGTTCCTCAATTTAATGCGTCTTTGAAGTGTTGTACCCATCTCCTTAGTACGTCATCTTTGTGGCTTAAAAGAGTTCCGTTCGTGTCTTTGCATGCCATCACTCTGGGCCTGAAAGCTGCCCTACCCTCGTTTATTCTCTGAAAGAACAGCCGACTTTCATTTTGGCAGCGCAATGCCTCTGTGTCCTCCATTTTCTTATTTTCCCAAGCTCTTCTCTTTCCGCTGAATAATCTCTTCTCTTTGCGTCTTTTTCTTCGATATGTTTCTTGGGAGAGCCTTGTGGGACGCTAAACCTTCTTTCTGTAGGCTTCATTTTTCACTTTTACTGCTTGAAGGCACTCAGCATCAAAGCCTTCTAGATTTAGTCTCGTAGCCAAGAGATTGATCTGCTGCCTGTTTGATTGCGTTGCTGCATCTCTTCCACTGTTCATCGACCATAGAGCTGTCATTAATTACTTCTACATTAAGTTTCGTCTCCACAGCTTGTTGATACGAATATTGGTGGTCCGACCTTGAAAGGGCTCTTCGGGAGGAATGGGCTATCCAGCAAAGGGACATTTCCTGACTGGTGGAAAATATGGAGAGGCGTCTTCAAGAAGTAGTGAAGGCAAGAGGAGGAAACACGCTCTACTAAACGATGATGTAATTAATTTCTTTTGGAATATTAATGATTCGTTTTTCAATTTCTTTTCTCTAATCTTTCTTACCCTATCACATTTTGATTATTAAAAGTAAAAAAAGATTATAAAATTCCATAAATACTAAGCATTATCTACAAATACCATGTATTATATACAAATACTTACAGAAATATTTTTATATGAAAACATGGAAAAATCAAGTTGGTGGAATTTTATGCCTGTTAGTGTATATTTAAAAAATTGGATAGTTCAAATTTATTTAGCATATTCAATAGTAAGTACAACTCTTCAACAAACCATATTACTTGTAACCATAAGTGTTTTATTTATTTTAATTTTACTCAGAGTCAATTTATTATTTTACATTTATATATATATATATATATATATATATATATATATATATATATATATATATATAGAGAGAGAGAGAGAGAGAGAGAAAATAATTATTTTGTTTTTCTTACTTACATTTTTTATTATTATTATTTTTTTTAATCACGTATCGGTCACTAAGGACCACGCGAATATTATATTGAATGTAAATATTGTATGAATGAACACAATGCAGTAGTAGCCCTTACCTACTTAATACTTAATGCTCTTCGATTTGGCAGATTATATTAACCATAAAAACATAGATGAAAAAAAAATTGGGATCTCACTGTTTCTATGTGCTCTGGCAAAAAGGCTAAAATATGGTGTCACAAGAAATGTTTTGATATTTGAGCCTTTCAGCGGTCAACTCCAATTTACATATTTTTGAGTAATGTAATTTTGGTCATTTTTCTATTTTGAAAATTTATAATATCTGTACAGACTTTGAGTAAGTTTATTCGAGAGTAGGTGATTGCAGTGTTGAAATATAGAACTGTGACTATACATTCTCCCACTAGAAATATCATTAAAATTAATAATAAAAAATGTTGAAATTGTAGTTAGTAAATCTGTCAATTGAAATTTTTTTACTCTCTACTATTCCTGGCGTTCAGGAGAAGGAAAGAGTTGTTCTAGAGATTCGCCACAAAATAAATTTCAACCTGCCTCGGCCGGATTCGAATCGGTATTACTATAAACGAGATTTCATCTATCAATGCAGATGCCATACAGTTGATTTTGTCCCACCTGTAATACTGCTGAATTTGACAAATCCTTTATTTAAGGTGTCCCTCATGTTTTACTTTTGTTCTAAATCTATTTTAAATATTAATTATGTTTTATTATATTACTATTTGCTATTTTTAAGTGAAGAAAAAAATTCTTCAAACTAATTAACTTAGGCTGTATTAATTGGACATCACTGTACCATACATGTCAGTTATTTCTAGACCTAAATTTCATAATAAGTAAATTCATATTTCATCTCAGCTTAATGTTATCAACAATTAAGTATTACACATTGATTCATTGTGGTTATTAAGGAAGTAGGAAAAACAATGCAGAGTTGTAGTGTATAAGTTTATTTCAATTACACATAAATATGTATATGATAGCAATATGAATATATCGTTCCAGATGTAAACAGATATTGTCATGGGGTTATGTCGGTAAGAAGGCAATGGCTGATACCTTCCACCGTAGGCACGGAAACTTCGGGTACAAATATTTGACCCTTTGCTTGACTTAAAAACTAACACTAGATTAAATGGTAATAATTAAATACAAACCCCAAGTTATCCTATTGTCATTATTAATACAACTGCATATGTTTGTACATTTAAATAAATTAAATTTACTACAATATATTTGACTTCATTACTAACCTTATAACACTTTTATAATCAATGATTATTAAAAAACAAAAAAACAAAAGGTTATTTTAAGGAACGCTTACTTCCAATAAAAATCTTAGTTATGTACTGAAACTTTAAAAAATGTACAATTAAATATATAATATGCCCAAACTCCCATTGGCTGTAGGGGAACTTGGGCTTTTAGATAAATATATTCAATATAAAATATGATATATACGTAACATATACATTCAAAAGAGATATCACTCAGAGACATTGACACCCCTTGTTAAAGCTACACCAAATGTCTTCTATATGAGAACAAAAGCTTCACAATGACCCGTACAGTATGAGCTCAATAACTAAACGGTACCAAATTTATATAAGATATGGTGATATTAACATAGACATCTAGATATAATAATATATAATAATGTTGGATCCCTGCATCAATGTGGCACACATTCACAGCATATATATGATAATATAGTACTTAACAACTAACCATATAAGTATTTATGCGTCTTATCTACATATAACTGTGATTGTCCTTGTATTCTTGCCTGATGTGTCTGTTTTCATTGTTGTTTTCGGCGGCACATCAGCTAGGAAGGATGTAAGCGGGGGACTTATCACTTATCACTGATTACATAGTAGCTAAAGGATACGACACTTAATCTTAGATCTATATGAAATAATAATATAGGAACATATCTATTTTTGACTAATGCATATCTTATAATTACAATATCTACACAGACAAATGAGATATTTGGCATAGTTTACACGGCATGGGGGCATATGAACTCATCAACACTGAGAGATCAGCAACACTACCATTGAGTAGATGTGCCTTGCTTGTGGTTTGAAGCATTAATCATTATGTTCCTACTTTACACTATGTACTACTTATCTAATATTCCCTTATAAGTTTCTTCCATATCTGGCGCCCAAACGCTTGGCCCGTGTCTCGCAACATTCCGAGCTTGTGGCGTGGCACAAATCCCGAAGAAATATGATGGTTCTTAGACCAGCCACTCCAGTCAGACGTGAGTGCCGGCCGTTCCGTAGTTGGCGCTGATCACTCTGCTCTCGCAACAATACTCTTCTGGTTTCATGATTTTCACGAGTCGCTGGAAAGGAGAATATATTTTTTAGCATTTAAATAATTATAAAAGTTCATTAGTTATAAACAGTCCATAGATATCACTATTGAAACAATCTCTATACGCTTGTAAGTCAAATATCAAATGCTTTTAGATTCAGAAGTAAAGTAATTGTCAGAACTAAGTGAAGGAAAATGGAGCTTAGTATTTATTTATCGTAGTTCTCAGGAACCAATTGACCAAAAAAATGTGTTCTATTTTTTTAAAAAATATGTAAATTAAAAAAATATTAATAATTACATTCCAGAGGGTTCCCTTAGTGATGTATAGCTTGTAGAAGAAGTATATAGGAATGCATGATAAAGAACTGGCTGTAAGAGCCCATCCTAAGTTGATACTCCACTTGGGATAGACATATTCTCCTTCCAACATCTCTTCGTAGCTGAGCAATGAGGCGACAAATATAGTCTGAAATAGATGTATTTTATTGAGTTAAAATATAAATCAATAAATTTTAACAGAGTTTAATAATATGATAAAATATATTATAATAAATATACACTGTTTGGGTGTGTTTAGTTGACCAACATGTGCGTAGAAGAACTAGAGATTTGTCTAAATTTGAGTTAGGAAAAAAAAACCCGGAAAACTAGTCAATAGTATTAATTTTTCTATTTGTCTAAAAAATATTTTATAATAAGCCAGAATAGGTTTAAAATATAAATTTCTCAATAAATTTTAAAAACAAAATTATTACTAATTTTAAGAACTTTCTGGGGGCGTTCAAAACCAAGGACGTCAGCCCGTCTAATCTAGCTCACTTGAAGCTTGACATGCTGAATTTTAGGATTAGCTAGACGGATTAGAAGTGACTCGGACAGACAAATCCTGGTTGCTTTTTGCTTCCTCACTACCGAAGGTAGGGAAGCATTGTATTCGTCCGAGAGGTTCAAAAAAAAAAATGCTCAGAATCGAACATTTCCACTCGCGTTTTAAGTTTCAGACATCAAAGATCAAATTTGGTTCGGTGTCTGTCTGTAGTCGAGTCCATGTGACGGGCTATTACCTATTACCTTCCATCTGATTTTCATTAAACTTTTAGAGATTTTGCGGATTGATGTCTCGATGGTATAAATTTTATCAGATTCCATCCAGCACTTCCGCTTGAGCACGCGTAAATGTATTTTCATAAATATGCCAATATTTCAGAAACTGCTCATTCGAGTTGGCTTAAAGTCGAAAGAAAGGTGAGTTTTGGTAAATTAATGATTATATATCGATTTTATTGAATTTCGTCATCTACTTTCTCTTATATATGTGCAAACGTGCTTTCCTTGATACATTTATATCTCTAAAACCGCTAGTTCGATTCGGCTCAAATTTGGAGGGAAGTTAGAGATAAGACAACAGATAATTAAGTGAGTGAAAAAAAATACTTCCGCTTTTGGATTAGTAAACGTATTATTTGACACGCCTATAGTTTGAAACACGGCTTGTTCAATTTGACCCAAACTTGGACGAAATGTGGAGAATAGTTCAGAAATTACAAGTAACAATCTAATTTAATTACTAAGATTAATATAAATAACTGTTAACAATATAATGGCTGTGAAATATGGAAGGCATTGATCACATGATATATGGATTAGGTTAATACAATATTTTTATGAGGTTATAACATTTTAGGTTTGATTCAAAAAGTTCATTTATAATGTATTGTTTGGTCGATTGCAAGTGTTACTAGCATGACACTTACTGTCTTCACTTAGATTTCATGTAACGTTCAATAAATTTTAATTAACTTTTACTTTTTTTTGTTAATAAACAAAATCTTATTTGTGATTTTGTTTGTTTCTATTTAAGTTCAACCAGCACGTCATGTTATCGATTTCCTCCTTAATCATCAAAGTTGTGTGAACTTTAAACATATATTCTTATTCCAGCTTAAATTTGTTTAGTTCTGACTAAGAGAAAATATAGGTCTCGTTAACTCCGAACACAAAAAAAGTTAAATTTTTCCAATACATTTTTAGTTCTATCCATTTTAATAGTGAAACCATACCTATTAAGTATATATCACTATTATTAGTACAAAACTTCCTATGTAACAATTTTCCATTTTTATTCTATTGGTGCTTAAAGTGGCATTTCGTAATACGCAATATGACATTTCGTAATATGATATAGTCAGCCTGGTACTGTGGAAAATAGAAGAAGAAAATAAAATATGAAATTACACTAACAAATCATAAACAAATAATTAGTTTTTATATTCTCCTGTAAAACACTCGATTTTTACGTGCGAGGTTTTGCACACACAGTAGCGATATAAATCTTCAGTATGTACTGGAATTTTTTTACTTGGTTGGCAGACTTTTTTTTTTCTGTACCTGATAAGTTCATGAGGGTTAAAATTAAATGTGCACTGTATGCAGATAATTATAAATAATTTAATTAAAAAATTGTTTTAATATAGAAATGTTAAATATTCTGGAAAGAAAATATGGCCAATTTTTAGTTTATAGTAGTAAAATCGTAATGATGAAATATTCTAATGCCTCTATACTGTCTTTCTTGTTTAAACAAAATTTACTTACATTATTGCACTTTTGGTAATAAATATATTAATTGCAAATTATAATATTACTCAACAATTAATTTGGATTAATAATTATGTAAAAAAAAAACAACATATCAACTTCAAATATTAGTAAAATAAATGTTACAATGATATGGCTAAGTATTTATAATTAACATACAAATTTAAACATTAGAGAACGAAGCACAGTCTACTCTGAAATGGTCTATATTTTATTTTATTTTAAAGAGTATTTTTTTTTATGTGTTTACGTCTTACCAATAAATTTAATAAACTTTATTTGTAATGTATTGTATATATTAAAAATTTATTGTACAAGGATACACATCCGAAGAAATTGTAAATATGTTAATTGTGAAAATATGGAATAATAAATTATCTATACAAAAACAAAATATTTACTTAAAACTAATACAAAAAATATTTAAAAAATATATACCAAAAGAAAAATAGGACTGATGTAGGCCCAGCATAGACGCCAGAAAAGTCCAGGCTTGTGACCCAGCATTAGCTCTATGTCGCAGGAGAACCTCTCGACCCCGTACATCCAGCAGACCCCGGCCGCCTCCACGAACACCACGAAGAGGATGGCCAGTCCGGGGCCGTACACGTTCAGCAAGTTCACCAGATGCACTCCTCCCTGGTCCAACAGAAGAAAAATCTGTAGTAGTAACAGTGAAAGGATATGTAAAGGTTTGACGGTAAGGGTATGCGGTCAGCAACAACGCTCTATTAGTGACCTGTTAGGTATATCATTTTACAGAGGCTGAATGTTCCTTAGAAATTGATTGTTGATAGGACAGTGATATATTGATTTACATTCAAACTTAAATTACGATTTGTTACTTAGCCACAGACCAAAGTCCCAAGCTCGTCGATCCTTCAATTTTTTTATTTTTTTTTTATATTTGTTTATTTAGAAATATTACATTCTGTCACATCAAGGACATTTATAATAGTGTTCAGAGAGCATACTCATACTCTATTTACAATAATAAAAATAAATAATACAGAAACTTAATAATAATAAATACAATAAAATAAAATAAATGTATATAAACAAAAGAACTACCTAATCATACACACTCGGGCTTGAGTGGAGGATCTGGCCATTGCCAAAACTCCAATAGATGCTTATTTACAGAAGGTCTCTGGGCCACTGCCGCTTCAACCTTCGAGGAGGATTGTAAGGATGGATGGTGCTGGATAGAGATTGTGCAAGGGGATTTGGATGATAGGTAAGGTTCTGGTGAAATTTGGAGAATTTTTCTGGAATTAAGTCTAGGACAAATGGGATATTAAGGTCATGGTGTAGGATTTTGTTATTTACATAGAACGGAGCATCAACTATTGTTCGAAGGACTTTAGATTGAAAGGATTGAATACGTTTGATGTTAGAAGCTTTTGCTGTCCTCCACAGTTCAAGTCCGTATGTCCATATAGGTTTCAGTATTGTCTTGTAGATAAGTAATTTGTTTTCAATAGAAAGTTTGGATAATCTTCAAATTAAAGATACTATTTCGACTGCTAGCAGTTAAGCACTGTTTTAGTGGAAAATAAAGGAACTTATTTCGTTGTCACTGCTCGGCAATCTAGGTATGAAGTTGTATCTGTACTGCTCCTTTCTGGCCGCTTCTGAAGCAGTGAAGCTGTTGGCAGTACAGCGGTTCTCGATTACGTTATCATATCGGAGAATTGTTTCAATGATGACAGTCACTTTGATGCGTTTCATTTCCTTTTTTTACTTTCCTACCTATACTAGGTAAGGAAAGTATCGCAATCGGATCAAATTTCCGACATGCGGTTTACAAAAAAAAAAATCATCGGAATCGAACCAGAATTAGCTTATGATACAGTATGATACAGCTTATTCTATTTTTTACACATTGAGTCTGGAAACGCTGTTTGACAGGTAATGAAATTTCCTACAAAGCCATATAAAAATCGTCCATTTTGGACGACTATTAACGAAATTACAGCTATTCAATTGCCAACGTAAGATTACGGGTTCATATCTGGTGTCAGGAAGGGGCGAAGGAGAGAATAAAGATGACTAAGTGAAAGTAAGAAAATCTGTTACCCGCATCACCCAAGCTTCACTATTTCCTCTACTATTAATAGAGATTATTGTTTGACAAAATTGAGCTATGGCAACAAATTTTTAATCAGAAATATTTTTTTTTTTAATATGTTTATTGAATAATAATACAATCAGCCACTGCTGGAGGGCTATAAGCATTAGGGCTAAAAGTTCTCATTCATACAATATATACAAATAATAAAGAAATAAATATAAATATAAGAAGTAAATAAATAATACTGGTGAAGAAGTAAAAAATAAAAAAATAAAATAAACCAATAAAATAAAATAAAAACTTCTAAACACAATCATACCTATATACAATATATACATCCGCCCAAGAATCTCCGAGCCAGGCTTTTTCCCCCACACGTGGAAGGCAAAGCAAGACTCCGGAAGATCCCAGCGCCACTTTTCCAGCCGCATCACTAGTATTAGAAGCCAGTGGAGACTGAAAGAGGGCACTAGAGCCACAGACGCTCAGGACATGATTGGAGAAGCTGGCCATTGCCAGGACTCCAAAGGCATATTTACAAAAGATCTCGAGGCCACTGCCGTTTCAACCTTCGAGGGGGATGGTATGGATGCTCGGAGCTGGATAGGGATTGCGCTAGAGGATTGGGATGATGAATGAGGTTCTGGTGAAAGTTGGAGAATCTGGATGGGATGATGTCATGGACATATGGGATGTTAAGGTCATGGTGTAGGGTCTTGTTCGTGACATAATATGGAGCACTGACTATTGTTCGAAGGACTTTGGACTGGAAGGATTGGAGGCGTTTGATATTCGATGATTTAGTTGTCCCCCACAGTTCAAGTCCGTAGGTCCAGATAGGTTTCAATATGGTCTTGTAGATTAATAATTTGTTTTCTGTTGAGAGATGAGATGTTCTGTTTAGTAGTCAATATAGCTGCCCAAATCGTCGGTAATCTCTTGTCTTTTAAGTCTCGTATGTGGGTTCCAAGTCAGTCTTTTGTCCAAAAAAAAGCCAAGGTATCGTACTGTGTCTGAGTAGGGAAGAGGAATTGAACTAAAAAGGATTGGCGAACAGGATCTGCGCCGAAGAGTGAAAGTTACATGCTTGCAATCAGCAATATTATTGAGTATTGAAATTTTTATACTGATCGACCTTAAGCCGGTTTACATTGCTTTAGTTTATCAAATAAATCGTACTCAAATCTTATGTTTGATCAATTTTCTGGAAAATGAATCTAGTTCAATTCCTATTTGTTTCTTCATGAACATATGAAAAGATATAAAAACTTTTCTGAAATAGGTAGGAAAGTCGTGTGAGTGGACACACCAGATATTTTTTCTTCAAGCCAGGCAAAATTAAATGAAAAGTTGTTTAAAATTTAAACAAAGCTATACTAAATCATTTTTTAAGGTTTAAGTAACAAGATTATTTATTATACCTAAAGTATTTTACAGAGAAATACACTTTGTTATACCTAAATCCACGCAATACGCAATACGCGCAATACGAAAATATACCTAAATCCAAACGATGTTAAATAAACTAAATAATCTAAAAAGATTTAGCTTCATATAAGTACTCAAATCCAGACATGGCGAATATTAATTAAAAAGACGGAAACCGCCGTCATACGTATTGCTGTCCTTGTGATACAAGTGAAAACCAAAATTTGTGGCTAACATTCTTATTTAAAATATTTCCATACAAAAACTAGATTATGAACAGTAATTGAATGCCCTATATAATACAGTAATATAACACAGTAAAACAAAATAGGTAATAAAATAGGCAATACATAATACAATAAAATAAAATTAAATATGACATACATTCAGTATAAATAATATGTCATGCATTGATAATAAATACAATAAAATATATAATAGCACAAGTTTTGGATATATTTTGTTTTGTATACAGTGATTGGTGTTATAATTCATTAACAATAAAGAACCTCAAACTACATCATTCACTACTGTAACAAAACGTTAGTCCGTGGTACAGATTCCTTTTTATCAAATTATTAACGGCTTAAATGTCTTCATCTTGTCGTTATCTACATATTTATTATCTAAGAAAATTCCCACAAATGGGGCGTTTTTTCATTAAATTAATTAATGTAATGCCATACGCGTTTAATTTGATAACTCTCCAATTCCGATAATTTTCGGAATAGTTGTAGGTTACGATGAAATAAAACTATTTCCTAAGTTTTAGCGGATGTTAATAATTTGATAAACGGGAGTCTGTACCACGAGCTACATGTTCTTGAGGAAGTCTTCATTTGGTCATACCAATTCATCTAGGGGAGCAGGGTAGCTCAGTGGGTGAGCACTGACTTCCAGAGCTCAATGTCCGGGTCGAGTCCGGCTGATGAAGTAATTTTTTAGCAGTTGTGGATAGACTCTGGAGTCAAGAGACCCTCGTGGGGCAAACCCAGCCTCTATAAAGTGGATTCTCTTAATTAAGTAATTAATTAAGAGAAAATACCTGGCAGTTAAGCGTGATACCGGCCTAATCACTTCCCTGGACAACCGTTGCCTTTGTAAATGTACTTCCTACCTAGTACTGAACTCAAGACAGTTCATGGGTTGTAGTTGTACAGGTAAAAGTGAAAAACAAAATTATTCGGTTCATCAAAATACTTAGAGATTTAGTTTTATAAAATATTACTTTAGATGATATAGCTGTCGTTGGATGTAATCAAGAAGACATTTAGAAACTCGCTATAAGACAGATAATGGAGACAGAGGAGATCGGCCTACAAGTAAATGAAGACAAAACAAAATATACGATAATAAGCTGAAATTTTCACCCCCATAACAGGATCTGTGTAGAAGGGAAATCATTCCCGAGAGTAGACAAATTCAAATACCTCGGCTCCACAATAACTTTAATGAATGACCACCGGACAGAAATAGACCAGCGTATAACTAGCGCAAACAGAGCTTTCTTCTCTCTCTCAAAGGTATTGAAATCCCGAAAAGTCTCAAGAAATCTCAAACTAAGGGTGTACAATGCTATAAGCCAGTCCTAATATATGGCTGTGAGACCTGGATACTAACCAGCATTTTAGAAAAAAGTGTTGAAAGATTTGAGAGGAAAAACTTCCGTACGATATCCGGAGCGATCTGGAATCAGAGCACTAACAGATGAAGAACAAAGACCAATGAAGAACTGATCAATCAATATCCCATGATATGAAGGCACGGAGTTTAATATGGGCGGGGCATGTGGCTCTTAGCAATCCATCTTAGAAGCCTCTACGTAACAATAGAAGGCATCCCAATAGAAGGCAAAAGACCATGGAAGACCAAAAAGCAGCTGGATAGATAGAACCAACAAAGATGCAATAGATGCGGGCAAATAAATGGAACAAAGATGCGTGCAAATAAATGGAAAGAAATAGCTCAAGACAGGCAGAGATGGAGCAGGCTCATTAAGGCGGAAAAAGATCTACATGGTCTGTAATACCAACAAGAAAAAAACAATTAATTTAATGACTTTTTGCAATGAGACGAATCGTCCAGTATATCGATAATGGGGCATATTTTTACTACCTCATAAAATGTCTATATTATTAATAGTTTTTATTATCAAA